GTTTTTTTTTTTTTTTTTTCCGGGGCATCAGCTTGTCTAGCTAATCAAGCTTTCTAGAGGGTGCCAGCTGTGTGGTCTCTTGTTGCAAACACAGTTCATTTTGATTTGAAAAACTTAATCATTTAATCTTTAAAATTTTAATTAAATTATAGCTCAATTCATAAACTATAAATTATGACTTATTATAACTTAATTTTTAAAATTTTAATTTAATTATAATTTAATTTTTAAATTTTGACTCTTACAATTTAATTTTTATAATTTTAACCATTTAAAAAATTGATCCTTATATTTTAAAAAAAATTAAATTATAAAAATTAAAATTATGTTAAAATTTAGGATTAATATTTTAAATTACTAAAATTTTTTTTATCTTTATAAATATTATAAAAATTAAAATTTTAAAATATTTTTAATATTATAATTTTATTTTTTTAAAATATAGAGCCTAATATTTAAATGGTTAAAATTATAGAAATTGAGTTGCGAGAATTAAAATTCAGGGATTGAATTATAACTAAATTAAAACTATAGGGATTGAATTATAATAAATTAAAATTTATAAATTGAGTTATAATTGAATTAAAATTATAAGAATTAAATGATTAATTTTTTTTATATCAATCTTTTTTTGTTTTTTGGCGTCAGGTTGTCTAACTAATCAAGCTTTCCAGAGGGTGCCAGCTGTGTGTGGTCTCTTGTCGTTGCAAACACCGTTCATTTTGGTTTCAAAAGGATGACGACCTTTGAGTCGTAATCACATATAGGTTGGTAAAAAGAATGGGATAAGCCATTAATTATTGGAAGATCCTATCTTGAAACAAATTGTCATGCACAGTTATCACTTCCTGCAAGGATATAATATCTTATGAAATATCTATTAATCAAACTTTAGCGTAAGAAACAGCACAAGCATCCTCCAACGAGTCAAGCAGTTTGAAAATAATTTAAGATACATAGATCTAATCAAGAAGCACGAATCGATCAGAATCTACTCATCCAGTATTCTATTCAGGTACAAATGAATGCATTCACACACACACTTTGGGCATGACTGTCGAGCATGGTGCTGCGCTGTTTTTGAAGCATCCATGATCTTCACGTACGTACGGTTGCTCTTCTTTAATTTCGAGCCTTTCTGCTTTCACCATGTCTTGGTAGCTGGTCACATATATGTACTCATCGATCATCTGCCAGATAGGAGACATCATCGTCTTGCTATTAGCTTCATCATTTCTTCCCTCTCCATCTACTGATCAAACTAAGGGGGCATACAAAATTAAGACAAAATGAAAGCCAGAAAATGGAATCAAATTATCACTAAACCTAAAGGATATTAGCCCTCCTACGTATTCACACTCTCATGATCAGTTCGCAACCATTCATCTTATCAAATAATATGTGAAATGTTTTTCTGGATTGCATGACTTCCTCGATCGCATCAAATTTTCCAATTTATATTGGGGTAGTCCCTCAAATCAAGCTCTTTCTAATATAAATTAGGGACTTTTGGATTCTATGAGTATATATCTCAAATCCTTTCACCAAGTGAATATTCACACTATAGCCATAGGATTTCATTAAATGAAGCGGTGAGTTAAAGGGGTTTTTTTTTTTTTTTTTAAGTGAGAGTGCGTTTCAACGATTTCCCTGTAGTCATGCCAATCGTTCGATTGGTATATGCTGGCATGCAAGTATAGGGCTATGATTTGGTTCTCTGCGTATATCTTGTACGAACATTTATGACAATTGCTTAATTGAAATCAATGATCTCTATAGTGTTATATGGAACATTTATTAAGTGAGAAATTTAGGATGCTCATTGAATCAATGGAAGAGCATAAATAAATTAACAAGTACCTCAAAGAAGGCATAGAAGCAAAAGATGTTGGAAGACAATTTCTATATATATATATATATATATATAGCAGTTTTACGTATTGATGATGTTAATTTATTATACGATGAATCAGGAGTTACAAAATTTACAATTATAAACACAATAATTTGATAATAAGAAGAATAATTTACAATGCAATAGGCTGGACCGAAAACCGAACCTAAATAATGGGTAAAATTCTTTATTATACTTTCCTTTACCTTTCTTTCTCGTACTTTTTAAACTTAACTTTGCTTTTTGTCAAAATGTGTTGTGGACTTGTAATAGAATAAATTATTGTTTATTATATGTGTTTGGGTGTTTGACACAGGCAAATTTGATATTCTCATTATTAAAAAATATAAAATATTTTTAATTAAATTTTACCTCTAATAAAATATTTACCTACTTTTTAATTAATCTTATTTTTATATATTTAACCCTATTAAATACTCTATAATAAATATAAAATCATTATTAATAGCGACATTTTAAAAAAAGGTAATTATTATACCTCAAAAGATTAAAAATACTTTATATTTTCAAATATTTAACTCCTCAAATAATATCTTATATTTTTGAACGGAGGAAGTATGTAGGTAATTTACTTACTCCCTCTTGTACTTAGTATAATTAGGCAAAATTTTTGAATTTTTCTTGGTCTTTAATATAAGGTAAAATAAAAGTAATTAATGTTTTGTTAATTTGTAGTATTTCTTATTTATTTATAATCATTTTAATTTTTAGATAATAATTTATTCTGATTATTAAATAAAAAATTTTAAATGAAAAGTTATATATTTTTTACAATTTTAATAATATGATTATTACTTTTTTAATAAACATAAAATTAATTCACTTTTCCTTATACAAATAATAACATAAGAGAGTGTACCTCATTTGTTTAAAAATATATAGTATTTTTATAAAATCTTACCATTTAATAAAATAATTATTTATTTTTAAATTAACATTATCTTTTTATATTTATCTGTATTTAATAATATATTTTATTTTAAAATAAATATAAAATAATTTATTTATTAAAAACACTTTTAAAAAATATAATAATTATATTTTAAAATATTAAAAATATCTTAAATTTTGTAATATATAACCCATTCAAAAAAATTACTTTACAAAATCAGAGGATAGCAGGGGCTGTAGTTGTCCGAGTGACGTGCTGGATGGAACAGAACAACCAATGGATAAGGAACGCAAAAAACTCGGAACTGTGGCGTGGACGAGGACTCGTGGCAGCTTCTAGTAGAGTTGAGTCAGCAATGACGTCCTTGAATTTCAAGATCGTCAGTTTTTTATTTTCCTTTTATTTTCAATCCGTCAATTGGGTTCCGACAATTTCCAATGCTAAGTACCCAAAAAGAAAATTGAAATGATTTTGTATGTTTTTTTTTTGGTAAAATGATTTTGTATGTTTATATTAAACTTAAAATGACTCGTATGGAACGATAAAAAATAAAAACTTCTTAAGTGACGTACTAGTACAAGGCTGGAAACTTGAACCAACGAACAAGGAACATTGAGGGAAAACAACTTTTATTAATCATTAAATTAGTAATAATTTACATTTACATGTTACCAATTACCAAGCATTTCCGGACCAATCTAACGTCACTGCCTTGCTCACAAGTCCTACACACTATTCGTCTTGCGCGCTCACAATTCATAGCTCACCTGTCATTCGCTGCACAGTGCAGCACGTCCAATCAATGTTAATTTCTCTCACTATCCTAATTTATTACATATTCTTTTGAGATGATTTCACATTTTTAAAATATAATATTTTAATAAAAATAAGGTTTATTTTAATATTATTATTATTATTATTATTTTACTCTTTAAATATATTTCATTCCCCTTCCACTCTCTTCTGAACTAAAAATAATTTTAAAAGTTTATAAAAAATTAAGATTATAAATTATATTTAATGAATTTTATTAGTATATATATTTTTATAAAACATGACTTATAAGTTAGAAAAAACATAATCTTTAATTTCTATAATTTTATTAATTTTTTACTTTTAATCATTGTAACTTTGTTTTTAGTATTTTCAGTTTATTTAAAGACTAAAAATAAAAAAAAATTAAAATTATATAAACCTGAAAAATAAACATCACTCAATCTTTTAAAAATTATAAAAATTACAAATATTAAAAAAACTGCATGGGCCAAAAATAAAACACAATCAAATTATATGATTAAGGATTACGTTAGACGGAAGGAAACCTATCTTCTGGTAAAAGTGGTTGCCGATCATGTGACCTCCACGTGAATCTTCTATTTTCACTTGTCTGCTGGAAACGCCTGTGGTTAGCTTAACCAGTTCTTTGATGACGGAAAGCATGAAGTAAAATAATCTAGAGAATGAAACAAGTAAAAAATCAGAGAGACTTCAAATTTATAAAAATTTAATTTCAGCAAATTAAAATCATTAAATTAAAAAATATCAAGACCACGAAGCCTTTTCCATGCTTGGAATTCAATGCCACTCAAATTTAAATTTATAATATCAATAAGAATTACATAGCTATCACAAAAAAAAAACTTTCCTATTTACCTATTTATATATAATTATTATAATTATGTGGACTCAATATATAATAATATATGTATAAAGAAAAAAATGTAAAGTAAATTTTATTTATAATTTTTATAATAAAGAAGTAAAAATCAAATATTAATTCATGAAAGTATATTTTAAATAGTACGTTTCTGATAAAAATTTGTGATTATTAATATTCATACTGTCATTTCAAGAAAATAGATGTATATATCAAGAATTAAAAAAAAAAAGCAATGTGATTTAACATTTATAAGAAGATATTAGAAATGTAGTGCCAAAAAATTTATGCCCCACACACGGGAGCCAGTCAAATTTTCGATTAAAAAAACTCAACCGTAACAACCACACAAAAAGTTTCGCAAAATGCAAAAGATAAAAAAGTTGGCGCGTTGGAAAGTTCAAAGTCTTTTTTAATCCACTTGAAAGTCTTTTATGTAAATCATTTATTGACTTGGGTGTTGACTTGGCCCGTCCGGCTTATTTGACTGTCCCACTTCCCGCTATAAAGCCTCACTCAAATCTTAACCTCGTTTCACCACTCAATCTCCACTTTAAACCTCTGAACCATCTTCTTCTTCTTCTTCTTCTTCACTTTCCATTGATTCTTCTTCAACAATACTCCCTCAAACATGCAGGTCAGAACTGTTTTTCTCTGACGACAGTGTTTTGCTCTGTTCTCTTGCATGCATGCCATCATCAACCTTCCTTTCTGTTCTGCTTTTTTTTCTGACAGTATCTTGAATTCACGTGTGACAGAAAATAGTGCTGAAGGCGGAACTACACAATGACAAAATCAAGCAGAAAGCTATGAAGGTTGTCTCCGGCATTCAAGGTTTCGTATATATCTCAACTCATCACCATCTTCTTTCTCAATTGATACAACAGTAACTTAGCTTGTTCCTTCATTCTCTGCTGTTTTTGTGAATCATCAGAAGGCTTGAGTCAATTAACAATAATTCAATCTTGTACATGTCTAGCTTTGCGTTGAAAGATATCAAAATTTTATGATTGCACATGCATGTTTAGATTCAGGCTGGAAATTATACCATGAAAAATGATGATGATGATGATAAAAAATGTGCAGGGGTGGAGTCAGTATCAGTGGACATGAACGAAAACAAGATGACGGTGGTGGGAAGCATCGACCCAGTGACAGTGGTGAGGAAGCTGAGAAGGCTGTCTCACACAGATATAGTTTCAGTGGGACCAGCCAAGGAAGAAGAGAAGGAGAAGGAGAAGGATGAGAAGAAACCAGATGAAGCGTCCTGGCCTTTCTGCTATCCTTATTACCCTTATTACCCTTGTTACCCTGCTGTGATGCCTGTGCGAGAAGACCCTATAGGCTGTGTCATCTGCTAAATCATCATCTTAAAAAACCAAAAAAGGAAATTACATGCTTGTTAAGGAGTGCTGCATACTTTTAGAATTCTTACCTGTTTCGTTGGGTGTCTTGTTTCATATGATTGAGAGTGTCATAAAGTGGCTTCCAATAATAGGGGGTTTGTATACGTACAGCACTTTTGAAGGTATCGCGAAGAGTGATGCCCTATACTTATACTGCTAATCTGCTATACATAGATTAGATTTCATTTCATATGAAGTTTTGGTTATTGCCTTGTTGTATAATATATGTCGGATAATACAATCAGAATGCAGAAGCAGCTTGCAAAATAATATTATTGAAAGGAATTTGCGGAACCAGTGGTGTATTTCTTTTCTTTTCTCTGTAATGCCCTCGGATAGGTCATTGTTTGACTTGTCAAATTGGAATGTTATTGAAAGTTTTAAGTTGAATAATTTAATTACAGTTTATTAAGTAGTCTCCAAATTAATTGTTTAGTACTCATTCATATTTTCACAAAGTTGAATGATCTCGAGTTTTTATTGATAAAGTTATTATAAAATTAGGCATAATCTTTTGTTTCTTCTTCTCCCAATATGGCTACATAATTACTAGTCCTTCCGTTTTAAAATATTTATCTTTAATTTTTAGCGATCAGAATTTATTTCACAAGTATTATTTATCTTTTTATACTTTGAAAGCTCTATTTTTAATTATACTCTTCTTATTCTGTCATTAGATAGTATACTGTTAGCACATTTGTATGATATATTCCATGTAAATAAGGATCATATTTTTATATAAAAAATGGAGAGGATAACTTTTTTTGAAGTCCAAGAAGATCCTTTTTTAAAAGAAAATTTCCTTACTTTTTTCTTTCTTCTTTTTGGATAAATCATTATTTGTTTTCTCACAATTAAAAACCTTAAAACCGGGGAAAAAAGCCTGTAACAACCCTCTTTTTATGTTTTTTTTGATAGAGACCTGGAACAACTTTATTTCACTGGATGATTTAGGCCGACTAGTCAACCAATCCAAGGGTACTCTTATTAATCAATTGCCCAAGTCTTTCTTCTTTTGGGCCTGCCCTTTTTTTGGATAAATTAGTCCACTAATCAAAAAAACCTCATACCCAAAAAATATGGACCAAAGGTTTAAAAATTTGAGAGTTTAACCTGTTCACATTAATATATAAAAAATTTATTATTAAAAATTTAAAAATTTATAAGAGTTTAATCCTTCGATTTAAAAATATAAAATATTTTTTGAAGAGTTGAATGTTAAAAAATGTAAGGCATTTTTAGTCTTTCAAGGTGTAATCATTACTTTTTTTCAAAAGTGCCCCTATTGATAATGACTTTATATTTATTGTAAAGTGTTTAATAGAAATGAATATAAAAAGATAGAATTAGTTTGAAAGTAGATAACTACTTTATTGAGGGTGAGATTCGATTAAAAATATCTTACATTTTCGAACGGAAGGAGTATCCTTTATATACCATGGTATATCATTGATGAATATAATAAACCAGTTATAATACAAAATATAATAAATACTAAGTTATTTACTTGGTTTGATTCTATAATATAGACTATATATGTAAAAATTCACTTCTTTTTTTAGCCAACCAATTGCTAAGTCCAATTTTCCGAACATGTTACTGGATAGATGTTTAATTAGGACTTACATCTCACGTACAAATTGTTTTGACGAAAATCTTACGTAAATTTAAGATTTGATCGGCTTATATTATCATTATCATTATCATATTGTTAATGAAATATTTTTTATCTTGGAAGAATAACATGTAAAATAGATATATAGCTTTTTGATTAATTTTTCAAAGTAGAATCTAGACTATTTAAAAATAATTGAGATGAACTAAATAAGATGTCCATCTCATAAATACTTTCACGAATCACAGATGGCGCGGAAAATCCAGACTCGTCAAGTGTCTGTAGTTTGATTTAAGTTTCTTTAATTTTTTTTTTAATATTCGCGACATAAATATATCAATTTGTGCCGTACTCATTTCAATTAAAAAAAATCCAAAAATGTTGCGGAAAAAAAATATCATAGAGATTTCAGACATAGTTATTAAGGTATATACAGCTCTGGCTATTATATATCTCCCTAATTTTCAACAATTTCCAATTCCAGCAAATAATTTACTACTATAGAAATAAAATTTAGTAGCGCACAGACCTTGTAGTAATCAAGAAAAAATTGCAGTATAGCTTTCACACTTACATTTCAGGTAAGCCTGACCAAATAATAAGCCTTTTGTCCTGGTACGGCCTGGGCATATATCCATAAAGTGATTACTTTTTTTTTTTTTTCATGTAGTTTCTTTTTCAGCTAGATTGTAGAATCCTTTCTATTAAGGTGCTCACCTTAAGTTTGAAGTTTGGACTGCACATTCACATTGTTAAAGAGTGCCACAATGAGGAATGTAAGAAAGAATGCAAAAGAAAACTCAAGTGAACAACTTCTGTGACATATTCTTTGGACGTATAGCAAAAATATGATTCTAATGATAAAAACAACTTACTTTTACTTCTTCAATTAGAAAAAAAATAATATATAACAGTCATATAGCAATCAAAAAACAAATCAATCACTATTTTTATTAAAATTTTTATCCAGATACATTAAATTTTTTATATTATTCTTATCCCCTGAACTCGAAACCAAAGAAAATCTATAATCTTAACTAATTTACAAATTAAAGTTTTAAAACTAAGTGACTTGAGGCGTAAAAGTTAGCCAAGAAAAAAATAAATATGTATGTTACACACACAAACTAATTATTGAATCTAACCATTATTGTTATTCACATAATGAGCACAGCTTAGACTATTTCTTCAAGAACTTCTTTCATATGTATGTCTATATATCAAACTCAACATAGGATATCAAAGTGTTGTGCAAATAATCACAATAAATTTAAGTTAATAGTTAACTAATTAAAGTTGGTTAAAATTTATAATTTAATTGTATTTCAATTTAATATATATCTTATTAGGCAATGTAGTAGGGGCATAGGTGATGATATCATTCATGAATTTTATCAGACAATAACTATAATCATTGCTTTAATTTGGCTAGAGTATGCACTATAAAACAAAACATATATCAATGAAATGGTATAATAAGTCATGGTTTCTTGATTAAAAACTTGGCCAAGTATGTGAATACCTTAAATGTGATTCATTTTTGGCAAGAATCCAATGCCCTCAAGCTAGGGGGATAAAATATTGCTGGTTGCAATGTGATACAAGACCACAACTTTAAGAAATAATTAAAAAATAAATGTGAGAAATATTATATATAAATTAAAATAACAAGAAAAAATCAACTTATTTAATAAAAATTTCTATCATATTTGACTTGTTTGTTGGTTTTTCATTAAAAGTATCAAGATACCATATTTTTGGAGTAATAGGATTAACCACTGCAACCAATGAGAGAAAAAAAATCAACTTTAAATGCACTCATTTGTAACCCAAAATCAACATTTCTAACCCCATGAATTTAAAATAAGAATTAATAAACTATAAACATAGAACCAACCTCAAAACCAAAGAGACAAAATGCAGAATGGAGCAAAATGAATCTAACCTCAGAGTGAATCAACCACGAACCCCAAAAAGCCTCGTAAAGCCTCCAAATGAGCAAAACGAAGACAAAAATCATGAGCCTAAGATCGATTAAGGGTAAAATAGAGGTTGAATAGCCAAAAATGTGCTTTTGATGGGTTGTGTGAGTGTTTCCAATAAAAGGGGATAAGTCTGATGTAAAATTAAAATATGTCTAGAGGAGAATTTTAAAATATAATACTTTACAGTTATATCAAAATAATTTTAAATATGTCGTATTTGATATTTATTTTAAAACAGTCGTTAAATATATAAAGCATTTATTTGATAATTATTTTAAAACAAGCATCACATAAACTTTTTTTTTAAGAAAAATAACCTTAATATCTTTATGAAGTGTTTCAAAGAAACTGATAAATAAACGCCCCGCCCTCTATATTGGACGGTTGTTCTGGGACAATCATCAAATATTTCTATTAAAAAATTAAAATAATAAACATATTTGACAATTACTTATAAATAACTGTCACATATTTATTCACATATTTAATGGTTATTTAAAAACAATTATGAAGTATTTTTAGCTTTTTTATTTATTATTTTTTACAAACAATTATCAAATACAAGGCATCTTATTTGTCATTTTTTATAGTAGTGATAATTAGAGTTTTCATTATGTAAGCTGGGGAGGTTTAAAATCAACAGAGGCTAATAGTCAGTGACAATCATCAACTCAACCTTTCTTGACAGTACAACGAATCCAAAAAATATCTGATGATCCACTAATATCTTACCAATAATATTATAGGAACGTATCTTTCCTAGGCAGCGCTACTCTTTTTTCTGTATGTTTGAAAATTGAAATTCCTAGGTACTCATATATTGCCAAGAAATAAAAGTAAAAATGGCCTCAAGCCGACCAATTAAAGTCACTTCTTGCTACGTGTCGATAATGGAGTGATGGAAGTAGCCAAACAAGTAAAAGCGTGAGAAACAAACAACGCAAGACGACAACGAAGGAGGGGACACAATGGAAAAAGAAAAGGAAGAGGATGGGCCTGAAGTCACTATAACATAAATGGGCATGGGCCCGGCCCTGTTGAGGTGGGGCCCACAGAAAATATCTCGCATTGCAAGATATCATGTGGCCAAGCATTTGGGGGCACTGACAACCTTACACGGAACGGAACATGATAAGCCCATAGACTTGTGCGCAGAATCAGCATTTACTTGCCACGTGTACACCGCGTGGCTTTACCATTTACTTTCCCGCTTTACCTTCCACTGTTCACTGTCTTTTTCGCCCACTTAACTGACTCCCCTCGCGCTCCTTCAACCGTCATTCCGCGAGAATCTATCCGGTGCTTCCCTCACCACCGTGCTCCCTACCTTTTTCTTCTTAAATTTACAATTATTGTGTACTAGTATTATGGACATGTCATATGGATATGGATTCGTGTGTTTCAAATGTTTGTTCCTTTGGAAAAAAAAATTAAAATATAAATTATTTAAACCAAAATTAACGGTCTACTTGTCACTCTTGAGTCTTGAGAAATAATAACACGGCGCGTTACTTTTTATATTATTTGTTTTAGTTACCGCTGAAATATATATTATATTCTTAGATGGCAAACCGTAATTCTTGATGAGAAAAGAAGTAAGGAAAAATCTTAAATTGCACTCTCTAATCTCACTATTTAAAAACGGTTTCAACTACTTTACTAAAATTAAATAATATCAATTGATTTATTAAATATATTCATTTTAATTTTATTCCTATTAAAATAGATAGATAGAGATACATGATATACAATGAGCTATAAAAATAAATTTATGATATAGATAAGGTTCAAAAATAATAATAAATGACTTTCAATGTGTTTTATATTATGGATAAACAAATTCTTTTAAAAAGTACCTTTATTAAGGACAGGAAGGAGTATGTCAATATTGCCCTTTTGTTCCTTTGGGTATTATTTTTGATATGGTCTTGTTGGTTTAGTTGAATATTTCTTTGTTTTTTTTTTGCCAATTTAGTTGAATATTTCTGCATATTATAAATAAATTAGCATGCAAAATATGAAAACATTGAGAATTCTGAGGCCATTGCATAGGATTTTTAAGCCATGTGCATCTTTTTAGTATTAAATGCCATAAATTTTATTATTGTTATAATAAATTTTCACGTTTGTTTTTTATAAATAAACAAGGCAAATCACTCACGGATGCGGAGCTTATAACCAATATTTTAAAAGTACGATTAGACGTTGCATTAAAAAAGTCAACAATTCTTATTTTTTATTTTTTATATCAGTTAGATTAATGGTTAAATTAATATTATAATAATTAAATAAACAATAATATTAAATGCATATCTAATCTATAAGAAATAAACCTATTATTTGTCTAGTTGTTAATAAAATAATACAACAAGCTCATAAATTAATAGTATTATAAATTACTCCCTTCATTAAAAAATATAAGGTATTTTTTGAGAAGTTATATGTTAAAAAATATAAGACATTTTTAGTCTTCTACGGTGTAATTATTATCTTTTTTTTTAAGTGTCTATATTAATAATGATTTTATATTTATTATAGGGTGTTTAATAAGGATAAATATAAAAAGATAGGATTAGTTTGAAAGTAGATAACTACTTTATTGAGGGTGAGATTCGGTTAAAAATACCTTATATTTTTGAATGGAAGGATTATAATTTTATAGTTTGTTAAATATAGATAGATTTTAGTTAAATAATGTATGATTAAACTTGAAAATATCTATATTTGCACATATATCTATCAACATCTTTTTTTAAAAATGGTCTCAGATATTATTATATATATGTGAAGGGTCAAAAAATGAAGTTGATTTTTAGCATGTCTAATTTTTCAATTTTTTTATCATTTTAAATTTTAAATATTTTTTAATATTATGTTTATAACTTTTCAATTTCTAAAAGATGTTTTGGTTTCTAGTTTAACTTTAGTTTTCGGTTTGATAACAACTCAATTCCAATCCAGTCTGATTTAACCATGAAATTAATTTTTTAATCTGAACCGAGTTGTTAATAGTTTTGATCAAGGTTGTTAAATTCGTGAGTTTAAATAAACTTGTAATAAGAATATAAACTCATATCGCAAACGTGAATCGTAAACTCAAAAGAATTTACCTCCATTAATAAATAGTCAGTAAAATATAATTGTAATTTAATTTAAGTATATTAAAAATATAAGTCATTGAAATTAAACTCATTTACATTAATAAATTATCACATATAAGACATAAAAATTTTAAAATGAAAAAATTTATTTTTGATATTTTTGTTTTCTTTTTTATGAGTATTAGTTTTTACATTTTAAGTTTTTTTTGAATTAAGTCTTATAATTTTTATGAATTAAATTCTTTATAATATATACTTAACTTTTTAATTAAAAAAATTAATAAACTTAATAAGTTTAATTAAACTTGTAGATGGTTCGAATTTATGAATTTGTGAACTGTAATTCTATTCTATATTAACAGTCAACCAAATTGTTACTTCACTGATCAAATAGGTTTTGTTAATTCAACTTTATTAATGTTTCATAAACTATATCAAAAAAAAAATCTACAGACTAAAAATCTAATTTGAGTGTACGGAGGAAGGACCAAGAAATCTGAAAATGCCGACGGGATCGGAATATGAAGGGCAATTATATAGGTTACAATGCCATGCTTGATTACCACGCGTGTCCGGGGCAAAAGAAAAACAAAGCGAAAGCTTGAAACCTATTTTCGTATGTTGATGTGGCTACATACCATTCGCCCCCGTCACGTACCTACCACAAACCTTGCCGCATACAAAAACAGCCTCTGAACGCATCTTTTATAAACTGCTCCGTTTCCTCTAGTAATAACAGCCGCATTTTCTTTTCCTCGCTTTCTCTCTCAAAAAGCAATAAACCCCCCTTCGATTTTTTCTTTTTTCTCAATGGTCTCCAAAAACCCAAACCCCTCAGAGGGCTTCTACTTGGATCCCCCTGGCATGGCGCTTCCTGGCCTTGGCCCCTTCGCCTCCGTCACCGCCGCTGCGACTACCACCACCGCCTCCAACGCTAATTCATCGGACGACCCTTCGAAGAAGATCCGTAAGCCGTACACTATAACCAAGTCCAGGGAGAGCTGGAGCGAGCCCGAGCACGACAAATTCCTCGAAGCCCTCCAACTGTAAAGTTCGCTTTTACCTTTTTTTTTTCCGGGATGGGTTTATTTTTTCCCTTTTTCCCGAAAGTGTAGTGGATGAATTTTACGATTCAATTCGGGCATAGACTTGTACGAATGGATGCATATGGAGAATAGTATGTTGAGGTTGTAGTTTTAGGTTTTGTGGGACAGGAATTAGATGTCTGTTGGAAAATTGGAAGTGGTCAATGAGCAGTGTGAATTTTGAGTGTTTTCTGCTAACTTATTTGAAGGAAACTTTGGATTTTTTTTTTCCCAGCTCATTCTTGGTGTTACGGTGCCAAGTTGTGTTGCTTGATTTTAGGGATTATCGTCTATTTGTCAATGCAAACCGTTGTAGCTTTGTTTAAATCTGTGGAATGTAATTGTGCTCAATTTTCACTTGCGGGATAGTCATGCTAGAAAGGATGAACATGAGATGCATGAGTTTTTTTGGTTGGAAGATATGGGATCGGAGTGAAATTAGGGAGTTTCTTATTCTTCTAAAAAAATCTTTATGTATGAAGCAGAAATTAAACATTTTATATCTTTTTCACAGTCCTTAAAGGTGTTCAAGACACTTTCTTTCTTTGTTTTTTTTTTTTGGAGCTGAGTGTTCTAGCCACTTTAAATGGGTTGACTTCGAGGGTTAATTGCACAAGTGAAAGATCGAGGTAAACTCAAAGTTGGATTATTTCTGGTCATGGAGGGACAATGGGTTAATTTTCAGTAGAGTTAATTTGGGCATGATACTGGAGAGAGCTACCCTTCTGTCTTATGAGATATTGGCCTTAGGAGCTTCCTCTCTCTACTATAGGCATGACCACTTTTCACTGTTGATTAGAGAATAAAGGGATATGGGTGATTTTATACCATAGGTCCTTGGGAATTACAATGAGAATGATGGTAGTTTTTCTGCAGATAGCCAGGGATAACATAAAGAGGAAGTTTTTAACGAAATATCAAATCGATTTAGTCTTGTGAGGATTTCCTTGTTTTGTAGGCCTATGCTTTGGAACTAGGTTTCTTCCTCAAAGGATTTTATCTTGGTCAAGTTTTTTTTTTTTTTCCCCGTAAGACGGAACCTCGAGTCCTTTGACCATCACTAAGTTGCTGTAGTTGCCTTTTACAGGGTCAGTTATGAGAACTAGGCAGGCCTCCTGTGCATTGCTCTAAATTTGAGAAATGAACCATACTGTTCTCTAGCTATAGATTATTAGATTTTATGTCTTATTTAATATTGATGATTAATGTTGATTATTGCTTGTTTAAAATTTATCAATTCGGATAATAACTTCACTGTTATAAACGTTGCATCCTTAATGGTGTAGAACTTCATTGGACGTTGAAAACTTAATTTTCTTTCCCCAAATAAAATTGACTAGTTTAATTTAAATCACCCCTTTGGTGTTGGTTCCGGATTTGCTTTTTTCATTATCGTCACATTATTTTGTTCCTTCCATTCTATGCAGTTTTGACCGTGACTGGAAAAAGATTGAAGCATTTGTTGGATCAAAGACAGTTATACAGGTAATTTTACTAGCTGTATGCCCGTTTCCTTTTGTTTCTGTTGCTTTAATCTCATCACTATCTCATTTCGTTGTACTTTATTTGGATTTCTTATCTTTACGTAGTATATTTTTTCCTTAGAAGTTTTTGCTCTGTTGTGGGAGGTGTGTTAAACGAACTATGGCAATATAAAACAACATTTGCTAATGAAAAGGAAAAGATGAGACGGTTTGTTAAGTAATTATTTTACGTTCACAGGTTAAAAATCCTTGCATATTGGGCATGGATAATTAAGAATTTTCAGGTAGGAAGGGTGAAGTGCATTAGAGGAGGTGAAGAATTGTATTTGATGGGGAATAATATGCCAGTCTTACATATGAAACATTTGGCTAAGAATGGGATAATATTGAGTGAGAATTGAATTCAAATCAATGTTGTTTTATCTCTGGTTAGCATTAGCCTGCTATGATTCATATCTAAGCCAGTTTCTTCTCGTTGTAGGAAATTTGGAGTTTAGCTTTCTTTTGGCCAACAGAGATTTGGAATTTAGTTATTTGGTTGTGGTTTTGTCACTTAAATATTTTCCAAGGGAACCATAGCATATTCGAAATGAATGTCCAGGGAACATCTGTTTTCTCTCTCGCATTTCTTACTGTACTGTCTTATCATTCTGTTTTGCACTGATTGCTTTGGTAGGCATAGTTTGTTGGATATCTGGCCCATCTAAGGTCTACAGTTTTCTTTTTCATGGGACAATAATTGGGAAACTTAATACCTGTCTTAGCCATCCATAATCTGAGGCGAAGTCTGGTGGCATCAACTTTAATACCCATTGTGCATGTAACACAATGCATGTTCTTGCCTTGTAGATTCCCTGTGATTTTAACTGGTCTGTTATGTAAACATCAGGTGTAGATATTATGGATGTTCTCGCCATCATTAGTCACATTGTGGTTTAGGTTCTAATGTAAGCCAAAACCCTTGACCTATTTGAAGAAATATTCCTGTAACCTCACCTTAAATTCTGCAGTTGTTAATGCATAAATCATGACATTTTTTGACTCTTGATTCTGATTAAACTGCAATGCATATATGGAATTTGTTCTACTTTTAAAATTAATGCTAATGTCCTTAATAGAATACTGCCCTTCAACTTTGTTTAAAAAAGATTGGATAATGCTCATAGGTGGTTTGCAGGAAACAAACGAGTTCCTTTAAGATGTTCAGCTATCTAAGACGTGTTCTTTTGTTTTGTGTCTACAGATGACTTGAAAGGCCCGAATTTCATATGAATGTTTTAATATCATTAAGTTGGTGAAGTTTGTATTATTTTTTCGAGAGATATAATAACAATACTTACATGTATAGGACTGAAGTGTGACTTATGCTCATTTAACTTTTGCAGATACGCAGCCATGCACAGAAATACTTTCTAAAAGTTCAGAAGAGTGGAGCAAATGAACATCTACCTCCGCCCAGGCCAAAAAGAAAGGCTGCCCATCCATATCCTCAGAAAGCTTCCAAAAATGGTTCGCTTCTATTGCCATGTTGTTCTGTCACACTACATATCTGGTTAAGATGCATCTGATAATTGTCAGTTATATTTGGCAGCTCTGATACACTCTCAAATATCAGGATCCTTTCAATCTTCATCTCCTATGGTTGAACCTGCATATATGATAAAGCCTGATCCCTCAGCAATGATCAAAACTCCAGTCACTAATGCTGCAGTGTCTTCATGGTCAAACAACACTTTGCAGACAACCAATTTACTGCATGGTACAAAGGGTTTCATTTTTTTTAATTTTTAATACCTGAAATTGAGCACGTGATCCTGAAATCCAGCTTATGGAATTATCAAGTAGCATTTGGCTGAAGATACTGCATGCCAATAGTTCTGTTTCTAACGCATTTGTTTTTCAGGTCCCAGAATGAATAATAGTTGCAGTAGCAGTGAAAGCACTCAGAGAGCACGGCCAATTGGTGTATCTACTGGTCAAGGGAATAACAGTCATTCATTGAGAGGCAAGACTTTGATTATTTTCTGCCTACAACCATTTTTTGATCATATCCAAAAATCTGTCTCTTACCTACAGATACTTATTCAACACTCTGCGTACATATGCTTGAAATCCATGATAGTGGCAATTGTCTCGTTTGATGTTGCACCTATATTTATATTGAAAGATCAACATTTTTCTGATGCAGTTCTGCCAGACTTTGCTCAAGTATACAAGTTCATTGGCAGTGTATTTGACCCAAAAGCTGCTGGGCATCTGCAGAAACTAAAAAAGATGGACCCTATAGATGTCGAGACGGTATGTTTCTTAGTATTTTTTCAATGGAATCTTTGATAATCTGTTCACCTAGATTGTTCTGTAATTAAGTGGAAAAGTTTGTCCTATCATTATATTTTGGGAGGAAAATTGTTGTTTCATCTAGTTTTGGAAATTGAGTTGTTTATTTTTAGTGGAATGAGGCATTAAGGGCTTACCTTTGGCTTTAAATGTTTTACATTTAGCTTGTTGGAACAACAACTATATAAACGAGAACTTACGCTTCAGAAATGCTGACAACAATTGTCCTTTCTATCCTTTTTGGCCTATCCAGGTACTACTATTGATGAGAAACCTGTCTATCAATTTAGCAAGCCCAGATTTTGAGGATCATGTAAGTATTCAGTTCACTGATTTATTGAGTGGGTGCTGTTACGGCAGTTTTCTGGAGACAAGTGCTCTGCTTGTCAAGACAATTGCTGTAATGAATTAGTAGTTATCTTATTTCCTGATTGAGCCCCCCCTCTTTTCTTTTTGATGCTCCTCTTCTTTTTTAAACTTCCCATCTTCCGTGAGCTTCTGCCAGCTGGTGTTTTCACCTCCTTAGGAACTTGCTCTCCGTTTGGATGGAGAGAAAATGGAAACCTAGGAGGGAAAACTCCTAAAAGTAGTAAAAATTTTACTATTTTTAGAAATTTCTCCTCCTAATTTTCTCTCCCCATTTTCTTCTCACTTTTCCCTTCATCCAAACCAAGCCTTAGATCAGATGCTTCTGATATGTTCTTACATGTTTTATTCTCTTTGATCTTTGATTTTATTCTTGTATGTATAGATTCAATTGAATAAACGGATTGGACCTTAGAGAAGTTCTGTCTTCCTCATTTGGGGTGGGATTTTTTTTTCTTTTAAAATTTTTTGTAGCATCGTTGCTGTGATGTAAACTAAGTTTTTGTTTATTTTTTTTGGTGGGACCTTTGTATGACAGACATTTGAAGAGTTGGGGCTATATTTTATTTTTTCCTCGGTTTTTTCCCCTCTCTCACATTGAGTGGATTTTATGGATGTCAGTTTCCCTTTAAACCAGTGTACCCTTTCACAATGATGGTTTAGTGAATGTGATTACAAAAAACCTAACGGTAGATGAATTGCGGAATTAATTAATTGAGTAGTCCTGGAATGCATCTTGAGGGAAAGAAGAAAAGATGATAAACTCTGTTTGTGTTGGTCATCCGCTCCCTTCATTCTGTGTTGTAACTCATGCAGAGAAGGTTGCTCTCTTCTTATGAGGCGGAACCAGAGACAATGTAGGCATGCAGCTATCTCAATGCGGAAGGACCGGATGCAGCAAGCAGTTGAAGAGTGCTATACTTCAACGGAGGTGGTGAAGTCAGGAAATGTCTCCCTTTTCTCTGCTATGACTTGCATTGTCAATGGTTGTCCATGATTATTGCAGGATGAGGTAAAAGTATGCCAGGGAAGGGCAACAGGCTGAGAGGGTACAGCTTCAGTCAATTATGATACCGCTTTATTTGTAATTGCTGCTGCTGCTCAACTCAGCTAACCCAGGCCTTTATTCTCCATTCATTTTCCTGCCATACTGTACATAATAAAAATATAAAACTGCATTACAAGAATAATAATGTTGCGAGAATGTATAGTCTATATAGTATTGTGTAGGTCTGTACAGTTCCAAATCTTTTAATTTTTTTTGGACTAGTACAGTACCAATTCTGTGTATGAGCTTACCATACTTAAAATACCCTCTCTGTGAGGGAAGTTATGTTGCAAACTTAATTCTGTGAGTGCAAATTTTTTGGGCGGTGGATGTGGTTTGAGTGGTTGGAACTCTAGGCTCATATGGATGGCAAGTTCTTATTTTTCTTCTGTGGTAGTTAAGTGGCAGAAAAGGCATGTGAGCATGTTGTCAGGTCTCACATCGGAGAGACTTGAGAAAAATCCTGACTATATAAATGGTTGTGTTGTACACCTTAATGAGCTAGTTTTTTGACGAGAGAATAATGATCCCGTGACAAAGTGATATCAGAGTTAAACTCGAGTTTGCCTAGTCGATGGGCCCCTCTTGTGGGCCATCCATGACGGGGGTGTCACGGATTGGTCAGGAAAGTTTTCAGGTTTCACATCGGAGGGACTTGGGGAGGATTTTGGTTATATAAACGGGTGTAATACACACTTCAATGAGCTAGCTTTTTAGGGAGAGAGTAATGGTCCTGTGTTAAAGTAGTATCAGAGTGAGACTTGAGTTTGTCTAGTTGGTGGGTTCCTTTAATGGGCCACTCGTGACGGGGGCATCACGGATTGGCAGGGGGAGTTGTCCGGTCTCACATCGGAGGAACTTGGGAATGATCTTGGCTATATAAATGGATGTTGCACGCCTTAGTGAGCTAGTTTTTTGGAAAAAGAGTAATGACCCTATGATAACGTGGTCCCTCTTTAATTTGAATGGTGGAACCATCTAACTATTAGATGTATTGGAGTTTGAACCTTTAAAAGCTGCCTTCAATATTACCGTGAAGCATGTAATGCTACATTTTACTCTTTCTTCAGGGATTTTTTGTTGGGAAAATATAATGACTAATTAGGTGATGGGGTAGACGAAGTTTCATGTAATAAGTTGTAGCTATTTTTGATTTATGATTTTTTTTGGGAAAAAATTATTTGATATACAAACTTAACGTGCAGCAGTGCCTTGTTTGATTTTCTTCTCTGTTCCTGTCTCCTTGTCGAGAATGAAAACATCTTAGCTCATTTTCAGTAGACAAAGTCCAAAAGCTCCCTTTATGCTTATCTTAAATAACAGTTTTTCATGTAGAATAACGTTTTACTTGTCTAACAATTTTAGTTCTTTATCATGCAACACAATTTTAGTTCTTTATCATGCAACAACTCAGCGTTTAACATTGGGAAAGGATTTGTATGGTTAAGAAAAAAATTAAGAAAGCTGATAGTGAAATTTGTTTTAAAGCATTTGAAGAATTTTACAGTTATCTTGCAATAAATAATGGAGAATTAAAAATTTATAAGATTGTAAAGAGTGGAGAAAGAAAATCTAGAGATTTAAAATAAGTAAGGTACATAAAAGATAAAGAGAGAATAGTTTTGGTAACACATCATATTAAAAACAAATGGGATACTTGCTTTTTTAAAATTTTCAATGATGGAGGGGATTTATTTAGTAATTGGGAGGATTTAATAACTCATAAAGAAGAATAAAATTTATCATTTTATCGAAGGATACATGATAATGAGATAAAGAAAGCTTTTAAGAAAATGATAAATGATAGAGTTAATAGATTTGCTTGTATCCATATTGAAATATGGAAATGTTTAGGTGAAAAAAAGGTGTGGTGGCTAACTAACTTATTTAATAAAACTTTATAGTCCAAAAAAATGCTTGATGATTGGAAGTGAAGCACCTTAGTTCTTATTTACAAAAATATAGGGGATATTTAGAATTATGCCAACTATAAAAAAAAAAATTAAACTGATGAGTTTCAATAAAATTGTGAAAAAGAGTGACAAAACATAGGTTGAGATTGGAGACCGGAATCTATAAAATTTAGTTTGGCTTCATGCCAATTAGGACAGCTATAAAAGTGATTTATTTATAAAAGGAATTGATGAAAATATATTGATATAAAGGTAAAATTTACATAGTTTTTATTGATTTGAAAAAAAAAACTTACGACCATGTACTAAGAGAAATACTTTAGAAAGTCTTGGAAAAAAAGAGAGTCTGAATTGCATATATTAGAGTTATTCAAGAAATGTATGAGGCGACAACAACTAGTATAAGAATATCTGGTAGTAAAACTAACTTTTCTACGAGGATTGGACTACATTAGGGATTATCTTTGAGTTTTTATTTATTTGACTTGATTCTAAATGTTTTGACTAAGCATACTTGAAAAATTTTTTTCAAATGTATACTTTTTAACAAATGACATAATTCTTATTGCGAAGACAAGACCAGAGATTAATTATAAATTTAAGTTATAGAGAAGGATATTGAAGTTAAAAAAAATTTGCCTAAGCAGGAGTAAAATGAAATATTTACACTATAATTTTGATATGAGGTCAATTAATAATAATTTGAAAGTAAAATTAAGAGAACAAGTTATACCTCAAGTGAAAAAGTTTAAATATGAAAGCTATTATTCAACATAAGATACAAGTTGGATGATTTAATTGAAAAAAGACTAAGAGTTATTTTTGATTGTAAAGTGCTTAATAAACTTAAAGAAAAGTTTTATAAAACTGCTATAAAACTAGTCACATTATATAATAGTAAATGCTAAGCTTTAATAGAATAACATGTGCATAAAATTGAAGTAACAGAGATGAAAATGTTGATATGGATGTGTAGGCATGCACATAAAAAATAAAATTCAAAATGAGCATATGCGAAAAAAAGTGAGCATAGCACATATTGAGAGAAAAATGGTAGAAAATCATTCACAATGATTTGAACATGTATTGAGAAAATCATGGAGGCATCAATGAAAAGAGTGAAATGAATAATTTTAGATATGCTAAAAAGGATAAGGGAGGGCTAAAAAGAATATTTATAAAAGTTTTTGATTGAGACCTTTTAGTTAATAACATTTTTAAAAATTTGATAAATAATAGAATATAATAGAGTCGTATAATTCATGTAGTTAACCTTACTTAATGAGATAAGGCTTGTTGCTATTGTATATTTTTTTCGAACAAAATGTATCAAGAATAGATTAATATTTTTTTCTCCAACAATAGTAAAGCATGCTTTGTGTTACTGTGTCCTCATACTTTTTTTGTTTTGGTCAAATACTATACGAGAAGAAAAACTCCACTTTATCTTACATTTTTTATTTAGAAAAATTGAATTTCACGTGGAACGTTCTTACAAATAACTTCATGTTTAAGTTGTTTAACTAACAGATGATGTCACCTAGCCAATTTGTATTTCTATAAATCAACAAGCTTTTTTTTTGAAAAAAATAATTCATTATAATTTTTTCGTTTCAAGCATGTTAATAAACTTCTATTCCTTCTTCGGCAAATAAAAAGATTCCGAGAATATCATTGAACATAAAAAGATTCGGAGAGTATCATTGAAGGACTCTTAAATATCTCTGACAACGACTTTCTTTTTTGGCCAAACAAAAAAGTAAATATTCACAATTAACAAGTAAATATTCTTAATTAACACGTAAAGTGTAAGTTTTAAAAGGGCATACCATCAGTCTTAATTCTTATCTGATATTAAATTTTTTAAACGTTTCTCATTAATATTCTCCCTTTCATAGTTTGGACTTTAGAGTTTTTTTGGGCTATTGGGACTTTGGAGTTGTAAATTGTAAAATATATAATCATTTAAGGGTTCGGCGTCCGCCCATCAAATAATGAGCCCTCGTTCCTTTGAATCCGAAAATTGGAGTTATGATCCAACACGGTGCAGCCCACCAGAGCCTAGTTAAACACTGTCGCTTATCTTCACGAAACCTTCGTCACTTTCTACCTCCTGTGAGAGCGCAGTTTTCCATCTTCGGCTCCGCAGCCACGGTATCTTCCTCTTCAGCTTGCATTCGATCTTTCTGTAAAGTATGGTGTTATGTATATATTAGATATTTTGTTCCGTGTTATTGCAGATTATATCGGAGAAGAATCGCAAGGAGATCTGCAAATATCTCTTCAAAGGTTTCTTTAAATTTCTCCATTATGTGCATTTTTCTAAAACCGTTATGAGCCTTTTGTTTGCAGAGGGAAGTTTTTCATTTGGATAAAAAATTGGGAAATAAGTGCGTGCATAGATGTTTTTGAATCTATGATGTATCCGGCTATTTGGACATCAACGCAGTCTAGTTAATTATAATGCTTCAGCGTCGGTGATTCTTTGTTTATTTTGCTCTATTTTCTTTCTTTTCTTTTATTTTCAATTCCTTCTGATCAGTATTTCAAAGCCTTTAAAAGTATCTCAGTGCGGTGTTCTTACTGATCAAGTGTAATTCTGATTCATTATTGGTTAACATTCTGATTTGCTATCTGTGTTAACTGTTCAGATTTACACAATGGTGTTTTCAATTTTTCTAGAGGGAGTATGTTATGCGAAGAAGGTTTATAATCTTTCAAAACTCCCGGAGATCGATGTCCCAAATCTGCAGGTCATTAAGCTGATGCAGAGCTTCAAATCCATGGAATATGTTCGTGAGACTTTTGCATGGATACATTAATATTGATTTGTCACAAACGATGGAATCGAATATTTAAGGACATACCTTAATCTGCCATCAGAAATTGTGCCTGCTACCTTGAAGAAAACACCTAAACCAGTCGGTAGGCCATTCGGGGGCCCACCTGGTGATCGCCCACGGCAACAAAGAGAATCATCTTATGTTGCAATTTATAGTGTATTCTTTATTTCCAGCTTGTGTGTATCAATCAATCTGATTGTTTTGTTCTGTAGCGGTCCTCCTCGGTTTGAAGGAGGTTCAAGGTTTGGTGACCGTGATGGATACCGTGGAGGCCCTGGAGGATCTTCTGGTGAATTTGGTGGTGACAAAGGAGGAGCTCCGGCAGATTACCAGCCATCATTTAGGGTAAGTGTTCATCTGTGTCTGTATGTTTCTATCAACTATGCTTCTTCAGTTTTCTCCGAGGCAGAAATTGGGAAAGCAGGGTATTTTAATTCTAGACAAGGAGCAACATGCTTTTGGTTGATGGAAAGAGACTTTTCATTTGAACTTTTAATTTTTCTTGGTGGTGTGATACTTCTTCAAGTAGCCATTTCTTTTGTATTGCACTGGGGATTTCTTAATAGCTTATACTCTCTACATGTATTTTCGAGGATTTTTAGAGTACGTTTACTCCCCATGGTCGCAATTTTTTTCAACTTGCAATCCCGTATATATTCTCATTATGGTTTGTATATAACTGTCACTGCCTCGGGAAATAGTATAAAGTATTTAGAATGATATTAGTTCCTTCATTTTGGCACGAAAAAACCTTATCTATTTTTTTTTTAAGTGATATTAGTATGGGTAGCTAGTGATTCTAGTCACTCATGAATATAGTTTATGCAAAACTTTTTTTCTGAAGGTCATATAATGCAAGCAATCATTTTAAGAACTTAAAATAAGCATGAAATTGCTTCTCACCCGGTGCTGGTGCTGTAACTAATAATGCAGGTACCTGCTGCACGGCCCTCGCTTTGGAAGAAGTGGCGGAGGTTTTGGGGCGGCACCTGGTACCAGCTTTTTATAGAGGACATTATTTTCGTGCTCACGTTTACCATAGTGCTGTTTATCTATAATTTTAAAATTAGTATTTAATTGCGCACACCTATAACTTGTTCTTCTATTCAGCTTTTTGGATTAGCATTAATTTCAGTATATACATGTATTAATGATTTTTAATAATCATCTTCATTTGTTTTTCGCCCTTTCGACGAAGAGAAATATCGAAAGCGGGCACGGTCATTTTTTTCCCCCTTAAAAATTTGTTCTTTAAATAAGCTCTAACACGTTTCTTCGACAGACTTAAAATTGTCGGAGGAATCCGTTCGTCCCTCATTTAAAAAAACAAAAAAAAAAAAGGTCAGAGCATAACTGTGTAATCCAGAAACAGACATAGATCATCTTCTCATTTTCCACTTCAGTTGGAGTAGACGTTTGAAAAGGAGGCGGAAAGGTTTTGTTTCTATTAAACGTATTAAAATGCCAATTGACAAGGTACATGCGCGACGCAACGACACACTTACGAAACCAAATTACAAGCCCACCCAGAAATACCAGAGAAAGGACCCAAACTACAGAAAGTAACGACAAAACAAAACAGAACTCATGCCAGAAACAACCCGCATGCACCATAATATTTTCCCGATATAAGTACTAAATTTATAAACAGTGGACATAAAAGCGTTCTGCCTTCAGTCCACTTCCTCCATCTTGCTCTCCTCCCCACCATCTTCTTCCAGGGCAGGCATGTCTTCATCGTCCCCACCAGTTTCTTCCTCATCAATGCTGAGACCCAGCTTCAGCATCCTGTGAATTCTTGCAGCGAAAGTGTTAGGATCATCCAGGCTGAATCCAGAGGTCAGCAGAGCCGTCTCGAATAGAAGCAACACGAGGTCCTTCACCGACTTGTCATTCTTGTCCGCTGCTGCTCTTTTCCTCAGCTCTTCCATAATCCCATTGTCTGGGTTGATCTCCATCGTCTTCTTGCTAGACATGTAGGATCCCATGCTAGTATCTCTCAAGGCCTGAGCCTTCATAATCCTCTCCATATTCGCAGTCCAGCCATATTCACCTGTCACCAAACAGCATGGTGAATCCACAATCCTATCGGACACCACAACCTTCTCCACTCGGTCTCCCAGAATGTCCTTCATTGTCCTGCAGAGTTCCTCAAAAGACTTCTTCTTCTCTTCTTTCTTCTTTTTCTCTTCCTCACTTTCATCATCCAGTTTCAATCCTTCCTTCGTCGCTGACACCAACTTCTTGCCATCGTATTCTTTCAACTGCCCCACAGCGTACTCATCAATTGCATCCACCATAAAGAGCACCTCATAACCCCTCTTCTTGAGTCTCTCCAAGAATGGAGAGTTCTCTACAGCCTTCTTGCTCTCTCCAGTGATGTAGTAAATGTCCTTCTGGCCCTCCTTCATTCTGGTAACGTAGTCCTTCAAGCTTGTCATCTCATCTCCACTCTTTGTGGAATGGTATCGGAGCAGATCGGCTAATTTGGCTCGGTTTTGGCTATCCTCGTGGATGCCCAACTTCAAGTTCTTCGAGAAGGCATCATAGAATTTGTTGTAATCCTCCTTGTTCTCAGCAATCTCATTAAACATCTCAATGCACTTCTTCACGAGATTCTTCCTGATCACCTTCAATATTTTGTTCTGTTGCAGCATCTCACGAGAGATGTTCAGGGGCAAGTCATCAGAATCAACAACACCTTTGACGAATCCAAGGTATTCAGGGATGAGCTCCTCGCAGTTGTCCATAATGAAAACCCTCCTAACATAAAGCTTGATGTTGTTCATCTTCTTCCTGGTGTCGAAGAGATCAAAAGGTGCTCTTCTTGGTACAAAGAGAATGGCCTTGAACTCAAGCTGACCCTCCACAGAGAAGTGCTTGACAGCCAGGTGGTCTTCCCAGTCATTGGTCAGGCTTTTATAGAAGGCAGCATATTCTTCCTTCGTAATTTCTTCTGGCTTGCGCAGCCAGATTGGCTTCTGTTTGTTGATGAGTTGCCATTCGTGGGAAACCTCCTTAATCTTCTTCTTCTTCGATTTGGTCTCTTTCTCTTCATCGACTTCTTCAACTTCTCCTTCTTCCTCCTTCTTCGGCTCATCCTCTTCGTCGTCACTGATTTCTTTCTCAGTTGTCTTCTCAGTCCAGAGGTAGATGGGGTAACTAATAAATTCAGAGTGTTTCTTCACAAGGTCTTTGATTCTCCTCTCCTCCAAGTATTCCAACTGTTAAGGCACCAAACGATAAGGTTAACCAACTACTCAAATAACAAAGGAAAAATATTGCTCAAACGGATAACTTTACTTACCTGATCCTCTTTAAGGAACAAGGTAATTTTGGTTCCTCTTCCTAGTTGCTCGCCGTTGACATCCCGAGTAACGGTGAAGGAACCGCCGGCTTGTGATTCCCAAATGTATTGTTCATCATCATTGTGCTTTGTGGTCACAATGACCTTCTCGGCAACAAGGTAAGCTGAATAGAAACCAACTCCAAACTGACCAATCATGCTCACATCAGCACCAGCCTGCAACGCCTCCATAAATTCCTTGGTCCCAGACCTGGCTATGGTACCCAAATTGTTGACCAGATCTGTAACAGATAAAATTAGACACTTCTCAGTAAACCATTTGACATAGAAACACCCTCAATGAAGCCTACAACGGTTTAAAATGCATTACCTGCTTTTGTCATCCCAATACCACTGTCGATGATGGACAGAGTTTTGTTTGCCTTGTCAGGCACGAGTCTAATAAAGAGCTCTGGTTGGCCATCGAGTTTACTCTTGTCTGTTAAACTCTCAAATCGAATTTTATCCAGAGCCTACATTATATAAACACAAAACAATTCAGATTCGCCATCTCGCTTCGTAAAGAGAGACAGCGAAAACCAAAAACAAAACTCAATACAACCAACCGCTTCTTCTACTTTGGGCGAAGTAATTGCGCCTTAACATTTCATCACCCACAACTAGACGTTTACAAATTCTAAACCAGATTAGAAAAGTTAACAAACACCAGAAAGGATATTAAAACCAAATATATTCATAAGACTACCATGCTCTAATACATCCAAATAATTTACACATAGCCATTTTATCTCCGAAATCATACGACCGTGATCTAATACAGCCAAATTAATCTTGCCATTTTATCTCCCAAATAAAGATTCAAAAGCATAGTGAAACGGCATGAAAATTTACTCATACAGGGGAACTTGAAAACTTCGAGGAGAGTGTAAGACTTACATCGGATGCATTGCTAATGAGCTCACGAAGAAAAATTTCCTTGTTGCTGTAGAAAGTATTGATGATCAAGCTAAGAAGCTGGTTGATCTCAGCCTGAAAGGCAAAGGTCTCAGCGTCAGCCATCTGAACATCCGCCATTGAAACTCGAACAAGGCCGCTAGCAGAAACGACGTGAGAGCTCAAACGAGGTCACGGAAGAGAAAAGCCTGATATCTCCTTGAAGTGCTTATCGTTTGGTATTGATGATTTTCTAGAGAAAAAGGAAGGGTATTTATAGAACAAAGCGTTTGGAGGGAAGGATTTCTGTTTTTCATGTTCTGGATTCTTCTACCTTTCTCTGGATCATCTCTTTGCGTGATTTTAGAGGAGAGGATGTTCGAGTAACTAGAAACGGTGTCGTTTGTCAACTAGGAATGGGAAGGTTCGGGAAATCGAGCCATCTTGCTCATTCCGGAATTTTTCCCTCATGTTCAGTGTTCTAAATTGACGCGGTTCGTTAGAATCACTAGGACCCTGACATCCATTTTCCCTTCACTTTCCTGGTGACTTAAATTTTAACGACTTTAATTTAATTTAATTATAAATAAATAAATTTAATTTTAAGCTATATGATTAGAGTTTTTTTTTGGCCAATATACAGTCAGAGTTCTCTCTGAAAATTTTATCGCTGCAATAGGAAAAAGTGAAAATAATTTATTTTATACTTCCTTTATTTTTATATATAAAAAATCTTTTAAAATTTTTTTTCTTAAATATAAGGGTTGTTATCATTTTTTTAATAAATGAATTATTATACCTTTATTAAATTGGAATGAGAAAAAAAATACTTTTATTAATTTATTTTAAAATAAAAGACTCATTTTTTATTTACAATAATTAAGGATAAATTAAAATATTATTATAATTTTAATTAAATAATAAATTTTTATTGATTTATATAATTTAATTAAAAATATTTTATATATAAGTACGAAGGAGATAAAATATTAATTATTTTACCAGATATAAGTTATTAAATCTAAACCAAATAAATTTCATCTAACATCTAATAATCAAAGGTAAATGGCAAGGGAAGTGGGAAGTTTATGCACTGGTGTTCGCAGTGACGTCATAAACTATACAATCCATTTTTGGGGCACGAGACAATTTTTTAGGAAAATTACATTTATGGACCACCAATTTATATTGTCATATAAAACCAAGCTTTTTTTTTAAAAAAAAGGTAAATAGGTGAAAATACTGTCACAGTACAGTTCGAAAGGTTGATAGTAAATTAGTTGTATATTATAAATATGAAAGTTTTTTATGAATATTCAAGGATTGGTTCTAAACCATAAAGTTCGCTTTTTTTAAAAAAAATATTGGAATGTTAGTGGCATTGTAGCATATATTCCTTCAGTATAAAATATAAAATATTTTTTGAAAGGTTGAATTTTAAATAATATAGGTCATTTTTTATTTTTTTAAATATAATTATTATCCTCTTTTCATTCTCATTTTGAATAAATAATTTTATATTTATTTTACAATAAAACACTCAATTAAATAAGGTAAATATAAAAAGATAGTGTTAATTTAAAGATAGATAATTACTTTATGAAAGAGTAAAATTTAATTAAAAATATCTTATATTTTTTAATAAAGGGAGTAAGTGATAAACTGTGAAAGTAATTGTATCTATTCTTTTGGAAAAAAAATTCCAACAAAATTGACACCCGTTTAAAAATATGGTTGTATACAGGTACTTTATTAATCACTATTTGCATCTAATCTTTTAGAATTTACAAACTTTCTAAAATTTACAATTAGTTTCAACTAATCTAAATTTGCATCTAGATTTCCAGAAGTTGCAACTGAACTTTTCAAGTTTAGGTAGATTATATAATACTTCATTCGTTCAAAAATATAAAATATTTTTGAGAAGTTGAATGTTTAAAAATATAAAACATTTTTTAGATGTGCAGTTATTATCTTTTTTTAAAAGTGTTCCTATTGATAATAACTTTATATTTATTGTAAGGTGTTTAATAGGATTGAATATGAAAATATAAGGTTAGTTGAAAAATAGATAAATACTTTATTGAGATGAGATTCTATTAAAAATGTCTTATATTTATGGATACAGAGAGTAGCCTTTAACCCTCTTTTTTGTAGTTATTTGAGATTGAGATGCAATAGGCTTTAAACCTCATGTTTAAACAATCATTTAAGATAATTTTTTTCTTTAGAATTAAATATAGTACTTCTATTTCCATCTTGAAAAATTTTAGGTAGACTAAATGCATTATATCATTTGTGATTTGTCTAATAAAAAATAAAAATATGACATTTAGATGACGTTAAATATAAATTGATTCTGACATTAATGATAGTAGAAAGAGAAAAAATAAAAAATTAAATATACATTCTGTTATAAAAACAAAATCAATTAAAAAAATGTCACATAATATCTTATTTAGATTATTTAAAATATTTTAATTCGACATACTATAAATGATGTAGTACACCAAATCTACTTAAGTATTTCTCCTTCTATCTTTGTTATAATTTGTTCAATAGAATTTTATAAAATACATCAAAATATTTTTTTAAAAAAATATCTATCTATTATATAATATAAAGTTATACAATTTATATCGTCAATAATAAAATTACATAATCATTATATTCTAATAAAAAATAATTCAATAATACAAATGAAATTATATATATATATATTTTGAAATTATTGATCAATTAGCTTAACACCAAACATGGCTTATATTGATATCCAAGCAAGGCATGTATGATAAACATTCTCTCAGTCCTTGAACACTATTTCAAGTATGTAATATAGGGGTAGGCTTCTCTATTTTGAGCAATTTCTCTTATGCCTCTCCATTTCCTTGGAACGATGTTGTTTGATGTGAAACTCATTAAATTCAATTTTTGTGCTCAACACTCGACCATTCATTTTATTATTTACACTTGGCCATTTGGGAAGGAAAGGCGAGAACCTCATTGATGTGAAACAGAAAAGAGGAAAAGGGAGGAGAGAGAAGAGATAAAGGAGGAGGAAGAAAAAACTGTATAACTCTTATTCAAATGTCAAAAACTAAATACAATGGAAGAACCCTAGAGCTATTTATAGAGCCCTAGAATTAATAAAAATAATAATAAATCTAAATTTAAATTAAATCATAATATAAAAGATGAAAATAAGGTATCTAGCTAGGCTAGATATCTTATTTTATTTGAGATAATACTTAAAGATAAAATAAATCTAAGATACTAAAGAAATAATAATAATCCCTAGATATTAAATCAAATCTTAATACCCTAAATCAAATCAAATGCAATTTTCATCACTCATTCTTCCTTGCTATCCATTTCCTCGTGTGAAGGCTTTCCCTTTCTTCTTGTTGGCTTCCACCCCTATGCTGTTCAAGAGGGTCTTCATCGTCAGCGTTAGCCTAGATGCTTCATCTTCAGCGACATCTTCATCAAATTCGAGAGTCCTTCTCGTCGATGAATGTTTGAGAGCTTCACCCATGTTTCATCCTTAATTCTTCATCGCTCTTTGTGGTAAGTATGAAATTAGTTATTAAGATAATGTATTTTTTTTAAAAAAATAAAAGCTATGATCTATGATTCTCTTGTTTAATTGAGTTGAGAATAATTGATCTGTTAGTATTTAAAATCATTAGGAGAATCCAATATTGATCATGGGTGTTTTGTTAGTTCTTATTTTTGGGTGTTTTAAAGATATGTACTACTGGGAATTCAAATTGTCTACAAATTTTGGGAAGTATCATCCTTCTTGAATTAAGATAATGTATTTTTTTAAAAAAATAAAAGCTATGATATGTGATTCCCCTGTTTAATTGAGCTGAGAGTAACTAATCTGTTAGTGTTTAAAATCATTGGGAGAATTCAATATTGATCATGGGTGTTTTGTTAGTGCTTGTTTCTGAGTGTTCTGAAGATGTGCGCTACTATGAATTTTATTGTTCTGCAAATTTTGGTAAGTATCATCCTTTTTGGATGTAATGTTTAATGACATTTTCTAAAAAAAAACTAAAGAAGAAGTTATAATTCTAGGCGGCATCAATCACTTAGCTTAATAGATTTTTTTTTAATCTTAGCTTTGAAAGTTAGTTTCCTTAAGCTTATTGAACCTATGCTAGATATATTGCTTGTCAGCTTATGTCACTTTTTCCTTTAAAGAGGGGTTGAGAAAATTCATATCTAATTGTTAGATATATTTGGAATTCATTTCTTTTTTATTCTCTTCCATTTTGTTTGCTGCATGATCTGAGGCATCAATTTTTTGCTTTGTTACCTATTTAACCATATGTTTCTTTGGCCATAAATTGAGATTTCATAAAGTGTACTTCTGCATTCAGATAGTGTGATAGATAATGGCAATGATTATACAATGTGAAATTGGAATTGCAGTTTAGAAATGAAGTAGTAAATGGGATCAACTAATGAGGTATGAACAAAATGAGCTACATGACTCAAAAGAGAACAACCTAAGAGTGGCAAGTGTTGTACAATAAATTAATAAGCAACCATCACTAAAAAGAGAGAAACCCAATAGTAGTAAGTGGTATACAATATCATTCAATGAGCAACTATCACCAACAAGAGAGTAGCCCCAAGAGTGCCAAGTGCTGTATAATCATCCAATGAGCAACCATCACCAAAAGAGAGCAATTCAAGAGCAGACTACTATAAAATATCATTCAATGAGCAACCATTACCAAAAAGAGAGTAGCCCATAGGTAGTAAGTGTTGTACAATCATCCAATAAGCAGTTTTCACTAAAAAATTAGCAACTCAAGTGTAATAGAAGAAATGACTAGAATAAAAAGAACTAAACTGTGACTTATTTAGGAGGTAGATAGTTGGATTGTGAACCTGTATTTGTACCAAATGGTGTGAATAAATATTGTATTGTATTGAAATTGTAATGTGTAATAAAAGTTATATTGATTTAAATAAAGTGACTTAATTTTCCAATCAAATGTTGTAATTTACCATTTGTAAATACTTGACTGAATTCAAGTGTTTCAAGTGAAGTCATATCACAATCAAGTGTTGCCTACAATGAATAAAATAAAAGGTATGATATAATGTGTATGTTCTAAGTCAACAAACTAATACGAGTGTTAGGTACCATCAAAAAATTGGTATAAGATACTTGACTTGGAATAGGTGTATCTAAGATCATATGATCATAACATGCTTGAGTTGATGAGGTAGCTCTTTTAGGTACATCCAAGATCATAGGATTATATTGTTATTGATGATGTTGTAATTAGGGAAAAAATGAAACCATGAATACCTTATAAGCATGTTGTACTTGAAAAAAGAATAAAACCATGATGTACTTTAAAAGAATAAGGAATTCATTACTTTATGATGCTTCGTTAGAGGTCTTGTCTAATTGTGAGGCTTTCTTAGTAGCTTGTGAAATTTACTTGGAGCTTTTAACACTTCTTTTTGGAATAGACTCATCCGCCCAACTTCTATACTGTTTTTTTTTTTGTCTTTTTACCTTCTCTCTTTTTAAACCCTACCACTTTACCATCACCCTTATTATCTTCAAGGACATAATCACTCTTATAATTCTCTTCACCATCCCCAATACACCTTGATGACTGTTTTATGTGAAGCTTAATCACTTTCTTTGTAAGCTCCAATACACCTTGATGAACTAGAGAAAACGTCCCTAGACTTTCTGATGCATCACTAGCTAACTTAACAAGCATGGGGCATAATCCCTATATCTTCTTGACCTTTCTAGTTTTGGATCGACCTTAATATGCTTTGCCTTTAAATCATACATTATACTGCATCTAGCTTCTATTGTCCACCTCTTTATTATATATTTTTCTAAGAGTAACTTGATATCATGTTTATACAATACTCTCAATGCATGACAACATAATATGCCCACTCATTTAAATTTTTTGCAACTACAAGTAATTGTCTCAATTGAAAAATCAAATGTCAAACTATATTCACCTCTCCTATTAACCATGGTGATGACATAATCAAACAAGGCAGTACCATCTTCCTCATCTCCATTTTTGTTTCTTTCATTTCTTTCTTTTATACATGCAGTATCACGTAGATTACACTGGACTTGGAACAAGTCAAAACTTGGTCAAGTGTAGACCTTAGAAAGCTGACAAAGCATACATAAATTTTACAATATCAACCTTGGCAACTTATCATGTGTCTCAAATTCATGTTCTAATTCCTTATAGCGTTTGTCCTCTATAACTTGTTCAAACTATTGAAAGAATTGGTTTATATTTAACTTAGGATTTGTGCAACTCTTTACATATGAATTGATACTTTCACTTATTCGAGTACTTCTCATACCAAGTGTCCTTAAGCTTTTTATATAGCATGCTGCTGCCTATATCTCTTTTATTTCATACATGGACCTCAACCATGTGTTTTCTCCTATATCATGCTTTAATAATAATTCTTGCTATGCTTCCTTAAATTTTGTTTCATCCCAATAATGATACATGCAATTGTTAAAATTGCTTGTGATATGAGAATCATCCTTTTTTGAGTTTTTAAGGTGCTTTATTACATTCCTTAAAATATGCCATGTACACAAGCAATGCTTCACTTCAAGCATCATTTCTTGTAATGCTCGTGCCATTACAACATCTTAGTTAATAAAGACTATTAGTAGCTTCACATTTTTGTATGCACGCAAAAATGTCTCAAAGAGCTATTTAAAACTTTCAATAGTCTCATCATATAATAATGCAGCTCTAAATATCACTCCTTCTTTATAATGGTTCATGCCAGAAAAAATAACTAGAGGCCTATGGTCATGATATGTGCAATAAGTTGTATTAAGTGAAACTTCTCCAAAGTAAGCATAATTAATCAACATGCGTGCATCAACCCAAAACACATTTGTTACTTGCTCCTCCAAGTCCATTTAATGAGCATGAAAAAAAGATAGATTTTTAGCTAATTGATCTTCAAAGTAGCGAAAGATACATCTAGCTTCCTCGAATGACATGGCTTGTCGCCTTCTTGAATTAAGATAATTTTTTGCATTAACTCTTGTAAATCCCAAACCAGTTCGGCCTCTTGCATATTCACTCATTAAATTAAAAGCTGATTTTTAATTAATTCCAGCTTTGTTAGCCGCTTCTAATTCAAATGCTTGAGCCGGTGTTATTTCATAAAATGATCAAAACATGTGAATAGCTTCAAGAGACTGGAGGGAATGATTATGATCTAGAAAAACCTCACTTATTTTGTACTTTTGATTTACTTATATAACTTTCATTCTAGCTTTGCAACACGTTCTTGACTCTGGTCTAGGCTTCATGATGTTTTTAACTCATTTATCTAGTTTTCGCACCCCTTCTTTATAACAAACAAATAAGTAGAATGAATATGACCCATCTTTTTTACTTTTATTAAATCTCTCTTTTCGAGCACTAAAACCTGTTCTTCTACCATAATTACTCCAAAATTCCCATGCATCTTCTATATTGTCAAATTCAAGATCAAGTCTAAGAGTCAAATTTATATCCACAATATAAACCTGCAAAACTAACTGATAAACCCAAGATTAAGTATACTTACATATATATGTAAATAATATACAGATTATAGGAACAATATATATATAAACTATAAATAAAGAGCCATCATGTATACAATAAAAGAGTTGAACACATTCAAAACAGAGATATATAAAACCGAAAGGTAGGTTGAAACCATATAAAATCAAAGAGATATTAAGGCAAAGAGATGAAGCTATATATATATATATTACAAAAATAGAGGTATAAAAACTAATAGTAAAGCTACCGGCATATGTATAAAACTAAAGAATATACAATATCGTAAAAAACTGAAGAAGCAAGCAACCACCAAATATAAGTAAATGAAAACCATCCACTACCCTTCTCATAGATGAATGTAACAAGATTTTACTCACCAAGATCCAAGTTCAACAAAATCTTTTTTCTTGGTTGGCAATTTCTTCTCATGCACTTGGATGAAGTTTTTTTGGAGGCAAACCCATGAATTTCCTGCTCTGAAACCAAGACTTTTGAAAGCAGAAGAATAGGAAAATAAATACAACAATGATGAAGGGCTGGGATTATTTCATAAAATGAATGGCGTAGATCTTTTTTACCAGCTAAAACGGTGTGTTTAAAGGAAATGGAGAGATAGAGGAGAAATAGCTCAATGGAGAGAAGTCGATCCCTATAATATACAATATTTTTAAAATCAAACTAGATATTAAATCAAAAGGGCTAATGATTCATAGTTTTTATAGTCTAATCGGGTTAGACTAATGGTCGAACCGATAATGTAATAATTATATAAAATAATATTAAATATATATAATAAATACAAGAAAAAAATTTATAATATGTTAAGAAAATGTCATAACATGATTGTAATTAAATAATATTATAAATTATAATTTTATAACTTGTCAAATATAGATAGTGAATTCAAAAGTATCTGTACTTTCATTTATAATTGTCAACATCCTTATAAAAAAAATGATCTTAAATCATATTTTGTACATGTAAATTGTCTGAAAATAAAATTTGCTTTTTCTAAGATTTAGATATTGAATTTTTTTTAATTTTTTTAATATTATGTTTAAAACCTTTTGGTTTTTTTGAAAATCACTCCAATTTCTAATTCAACTTTGATTTTTTAATTCAATAATGGCTTAATTCTAATCCAATCTAATTCAATTATAAAAATAATTTTTTAATCCAAACCAAGCTGTTAATGACTTCAATCGACAGTCCGATCATCTTGTTTAGTCTAATTTTTAAATCATTGATAATATACATTCGGTTAACTTAATGGAGAAAAGCAGACGACAAAGATGAACTTTTCATCGGTCTCAATTCTCAAATTTTTCGTGTTAAGAGGTAGTTCGTATTTCATTATTCTTGTCCATCGTTGAAAGCTCGCAGTCAATTGCCTTATTTTCGTGTTAATTTGGAACTTTGTGTACTAGAAGCTTCATTTTGCACAATTTGTGATCAACAAAATCAAGGCCTCTACCCGTTCATGGATTTTACTATCACTAAAATGATGGATTAAAATGCCAATGATGTAAAGATCCATAAAGCACATTTTCTATGCAGATTGAAAATAAGATTGCTGATTCAGACCACAACCTCTGCATATTTTATTGTGTACTCTTTTAGCAGCAAAGATGGGTGGTGATTCCATAGCCAGTCTACCACTCAACTCATTCAGATCTTCGAAGCAATCTTCAGAAGCAACTCCCAGCATGGCGTTAATCCTTCTCCTACGCTTCTTTGTTGATCAAGCCAGCATTTAGCTGCTACACAGGAGGCCAGAGAGTTGCGATATCTGAAATCTACATCAACATTCTGGTACCATAAAAACTATAACACAGAATTAAATAACGAAGTCAATTTAATTTAGCCTACGCAAATCTGTCAGCCAAATTCTTTTTACACAAATATACAGACCTGCTACAAGAAACAAGAAAGGAAATACCAGATTCCTGCAACGAAGCAGCCGAAATACAAGGGTCTCTGGCTACATCCCTCATTCATGTATGCCAGGGGAATGCGTAAGCTCTTTTATTTCAAATACGTAAGATCTTGTTTGGTTTCTGTTAACATTTTTTGATTTTAAAATCTGTTTCATAATACAGCTTTTAAAATTGTTTTTCAAAAAAAAAAAACTGTTTGATTATGTTAATTTAAAAACAGTTTTAAAATTAAGAAATTAATCAATAGCAATGATCAATGATGGTTAATAGTGGTGGCTTAAAATAATTATTGGTCAAGGTAACTATAGTCTTCAATAATCAAATGTAATATATTTTGAAAACAAGGAAAATAAAATGAAAAAAGTTTTAAAATGTTTCTATTTTATTTTTTTCTTAAAAGCAAAAAATGAGAACAGTTTTGGAAATAATTAAATTCAAAACATTCATCCAAACAAGTTTTTTAAATTTTTTGTTTTTGAAAACAAAAAACTATTTTTAAAAACAGAAACCAAACAGGTCATTAATTTCTTTTTTCTTTTTTTCCTTTCTTTTTTTCGGAGAGAGAGAGAGAGAGAGGTTTCTGGTCAACACAGTCTGAATCAACATCCATAACAATAGCCATGGGAAAGTATGAGAAACAAAGCATGACGAAAGATTTTTTATTTTGTTTGCAAATGCAATAACAATCAGGCCATTAAACAAAATCTAAGTAGATCGTAGATAATTTTTTATGTTGTTTGCGAGTAAATGCAATGGCTTTCTCCCCCCCCCCCAAAAAAAAAAAAAAAAACAAAACTGACTTGGTTTTCTCTTTTAAAGACGTACCAAGAGATAAGTAAATGAAGGAAAATGAACAGTGTGGAACATACCTTAACAAGTTCAATTCTTCATGCTATTAATAGGTCTAGCACCAACCCGATCAAGTCGCTTCACATTTGCACAAGCCTTCAAGTTTCCCTCTTTGCAGAAAGCTTCAACCATATGTTTCCCAATTTCTTTCCCTCTCTCCTCATTATCTGTCACTGCCACGGCTGTAGGCCCAGCTCCACTGATGGTACATCCAAATGCCCCTGCCTCTAAGGCAGCTCTCTTGACAGCCTCCATCCCAGGTATCAAAGGAGCACGCCTGGGCTCAACAATCCTATCAGATGATAATGCCTTCCCCAAACCCGCCAAATCCCCTTGCAACACTGATGCCACCAAAGCCCCTGCTTGGCTACAGTTCCACACATGATGTGGCATACCAATCTCAACCGGTAAAGTAGCTCGCATTTTCTTTGTGGGTGCTTCAAACTCAGGACTTACCAATACAAAAAATAAATCCTTCTCACTTGGAAACTTCAGTTGGATCAAATCCAAGGGCTCATAACTGCGAATTAACACAAAACCACCCATGATAGCTGGTGCCACATTGTCAGCATGATAACCTGAAACCTTCTCCTCTGATTTTAAGGCAGCAAGAACCAGCTCCTCAACACCCAACTTATTACCAAAAATCTCATTCACAGCAACAGCAGCTGCTGCTGCACTAGCAGCACTGGATCCTAGCCCACTCCCTAAAGGCAACCCCTTCTCAAGGGAAAGAGAAAGACCTACTGACCGAATGCCAAGCATTTTCATGACTTCAATAGCGGCAATCCCAGCACAATTCCATAGTGGGTCTTTGCTGAGCTTTTTGTTGTTGTCGCCAGAAATATCAGAGATAAAAATCTCACCAGGGTGGACAAGAGGGTCAACACTTAGGGAGACAGTATCTCCAAGGCCATCAACAGCACAGCCTAGGAAATCAAATCCAGGACCAAGGTTAGCTACAGTGGCTGGAGCAAAGGTTTTTACAGAGGTGAATACAGGATCAGGCTCAGCAAGGAATATGGGGGTTCTGGAGGGGAGAGACAAGTTGCATCTTAGGAGAGGCTTGATTGATGACACTTGAGTTGACTTTGGGATCCCGAGTTTTGCTGTGATGTAGTAGCAGCAGCATATTGCCATTGGAGAGACTGATACAAATATGAACACTGAATACTGACCTAACTCTTCAGCACCTGCATTTGTGAATGGGGATGAGTTAAGGCTGGGAGATGGTTCCAATCTACCCCTACAATTTTAATAAGATGTATTGTATATAAATTCAATTTATTTATTAGATTTTGCGAATTTCCTTTTGTCATTTCAGCAACCACAATATCTATGAAAAGCTTTAACTATTGAATGAGGCCATATCTTTGAATCACTTTCCATCAATCAAACACAAGACAGTTAAAGCAAAATACAGCACAAATCACTCTAAACTTATTGAAACTAAATACAGCACAAACATGAAAATAAATTCGGAATTAAAAAAAAGTGCAGATCACTTCTCAAAAAACTTTACTGCAAGACAAATATGAAAATGTTCTATTCATAAAAACAAATGCCAGAGAGAATGTTTGTAGCATCAAGCAACAATTAAAGTTTGAGCAAAGGCAGATCAAAAGATGACTGACTCTAATTAGAAGTCGCTCGCTTTGAAAGGTATCAATCAACACCATTACAATCCGTAGTCAATATAACACTTTCTGATTATTCAGTCATATAAATCGTAGTTGATACTGTTTGAACCTAAAACAAGCAAGGCCCGAAAGATAGCAAACCTAACACGCCTTTATGATTTTTTCACCAATAGATACAATACTTTCTCACCATAGTTATCACCAATTAAAAACCGGCATTAAAACCATAGGAAGAGTAAGCAGTAACAAGGGACAACGCTTTCAAAAAAGTGGCCAGTAAGGGAAACTATGAAGCAAATTCCAGAAATATATGAGCTAACAGCAAATGGGTAGAAGCAAAAAGGAGAACCAGAAACACTAGCCAAATGTCTTTCACATAACCAGGAACTAGTTTTCAATAGTCATACATTGCAGAAAAAGTTAAGTTCTTCAAAGGCCATTTTAAGTTACCGCAAGAATGTTGTATCCATGCCATTAAAAGAACGCAATAAAAAGTTCAAATAAGTTGCTTGAGGATTCCATTCTAAATTTCTCATAACAGAACCCTGAAGATAGGGAAGCAAATAAAACAGGAAAATAAGCATTAGCAGCTACACTTACTGGTGAATTGATTCAGCCAAAAGACACAAATATCATAAATAAAACACTTTGATGCTCATAAGGCGAGAACTATTTCACGCACAATTCTCCCCAAGCACCGAAGAAAATGCAGAATAGATACGATCAATTGCTGTTGCTTCAACCCAAGAAGTGAAGATGCTGGTTTTCAACCAGAAGAATATAGGTAACAATAGCCGAGAAAGATCAAAGCTTGAGAGATAAAAGGGGTGACCGGCGAGGAGGACGAAGGTCTTAGTGAAAGAGAGAAAGAGTACCTCACCAAAGACGACGAGGACGAATCGGAGAGTGATCAAGAGCGCCAAGCACCTGAGAGCAGCGATGACGAGGAACGGCAAGCAGAGACAGTCGAAGTGAGTGAGGCGAAGATCGCAGCGAGAGGGATCTGCGTAAAGAGATCGCAGCGAGAGGGATTATAACTCTCACCATCTAATTATGAGCTCCCCTGAAAATCAACGGCATGTAAATACAAACTCGCCATTAAATAAAAAAGGGCAGTTGACCTTCTAAAAATTTTTCTCGGTGCAACTGTGCAAGGGGGAAAAAACATTAAGATTATGGAATAACTCTCACCTACTAATATTTCCGTGAGAATGATTAAAAAAAAATTTGGATTGATGACCGAAGGCATTAATTACCTGTATCATTTAAATTATTAAAATTTATATCAATAATTTAAATAAACTTACTCATTTATTATTTTAAGTAAAGTGTAAATTTAAAATTATTTATATAAATTTTAATAATTTAAATGATACATGCACTCAATACACATTATAAATATAGCCACTAAATCTTAATTCTTAAAAAACCTGACATATATAAATCTTAATTTAGTATTATGAGGTGTGATAATTATTATTTATTTTTTGAGGAATTATTACTATTTTTTTGACAAAATGATATATTTGCTCTTCTTGATTAATTGCATTGGGAATATTATTTTGATTAGGTTATTTATTAAAATAAAATAAAAAATAATTATTTTTTTTATAAATTTGTTTATTAATCAAGTGCAAGTACTAATAATTTAGGTTGAAAAATGACTATTTTGGTTGGATTCCAGAGGAATAAAAAATAATAGAAAATGATTATTTTTTATGTAAATTTGTGATTTATAAATGAAAATGAGTACTCTCTTTCTAAAAATGTTACTTTAATTGTATTTCATTGATAAAAAAATTTTACAGAAAGGAAGTAATTATTTTTTATTTCATATTAGTTAATAATTTAATTAAAGTTGTCATTTTTCAATACATAATAATCATGGAGGACAAATATATCATTTTATCAAAAAAAAATGCGAAACAAGTACGTAAGAATTAAATACTTTATCCTTTAAAAAATATAAGATATTTTTAATATTTTAAAGTATCATTATTTTACTTTTTTTTCTCAAAAATGTCTCTACTAAATAAAACACTTTATTTTTATTTTAAATTCAAGCACTCTATTAAATAAGGATAAATATGAAAAGATGATATTAATTTAAAAATAACTAACTACTTTATTGGGAGCAATATTTGATTGAAAATGCCTCGGGTTGCATTTGGATAAGTGAATTTAAATTAAAAATTTAAATTTAAAATCTCATATTTGAAATCTCAAATTTAAAATTTATAAATTCTAAATTTTTTGTCGCCATGATATTAAAAAATTTTAAATTATAATATTAAAATTCTTTGTTGGAATCTAAAATAAAATTTTAAATTTTAAATTTGAATTTAAAAGAAACTTAAACGATCTCAGCCATCCGTTCCTAGTCAAAATTGATGGTTTGAATGGCAAACTTTCATGAGGACCAAACCATCAGTGCTAACTCAGACTATAGCATTGGCGAAGACCGAGACCGAATGATTGACTTCAACTATGAGAAGATTAAGACTAGATCGCCATTGCCATCGAGATTGTGCTTGCAACCAGGATTGAATAATTGCTCCCACCGTAACTAAGTCGATGACTCTAATCGGGACCAGACTGGGTTGATGATTGGTCATGGTTAGCGTTAGTGGTCCAATCCCATCACAAGAGGTGGTTAGATCCCATTTAGCACAAGTCACTCGGTCTCGATGGAAGTTAATCATTCGGTCCCGATGGAAGTCGATCATCCAGTCTCAATTGTTGTCATTTTTTTGATTTCGGTGGAAGTCAGCTGTCTTGTCTTGATCGTCACTGTCGATTCAATCTTAATGGAAGTAGGCCATCCAATCCTAATTGTCGTCATTGGTGCAAACTTGGCGAAAGTCGAGCATTCGGTCTTGGTTATCACTGTTTGTATGGTCTTGGTCAAAGTTGGTCATCCGATCCCAATCATTGTCAGGGTGTGGTCTTAGTAGAATTTGACTTGATGGAAGTTAGGGGCCTATCCAAGTCATCGTTAATAGTCTAATCCCAATGAAAGTCGACCATCCAATTTAGGTTGGTGCTAGCGATTCAGTTTCGATAGAAGTTAACTGTCTAGTCTGGATTATGGCCTGCACTCCGATCCTTACTGGTGAGAACAGTTTAGTCCCAATGAAAGTCAGTCATCTAGTCCTGGTTGGCCTTGGCGGTGTAGTCTTGTTTGGCAGCGGAGGTCTAGTCTAGGTCAAAGGTGGCGGCTTGGTTCCGTTAGCTTCAGTGATTCGATCCAATTACCATTGGTTAGCCGATCAAACCTTCATGAATTTGGGTCAAATTGCAGAAGATATTGAGTTAGGATTTGAAATAATAAGGGTTTAGAAAGAATTTTAAATTACAAAGAGATTGAAGTAAAACTTGAATTTGGATTTGAGTCTAATCCAAATTCATATATTTTTAATTACCCAAGCAATAAATTTGGTTCAAATCTATATATATATATATATATATATTTAATTAGTAATAATTATCTCATTCTAGGTATTCAATTGGCATCAGCAATTCCCCCCCTTTTTTCCTAGATTTTTTTAAGCCGAAAGAAAGGCTATTTAAAGGGAGAATGATACAAAAGTACGCAAATGATAGAAATGTACTTTAAAATGAAGTATTTCTTCTATCTCAAATTATAGAATACTTTTAAAAGAATTTATCCATCCTAAAATATAAGACATTTTGTATAGATTAAGGTTTTATTAAATGTACCCATTTTAATATTACCCTCTCTTTCTTTATAATTAATTTCTATTTCTTTTTTATATATTAAATGATAGGTATTTTTAAAAGTTTATATATCTATTTTGAAAAAATAAGGTTGTTAAATATATTTAATAAAGTTTATTATTATGTAAAATTTTATCTAAAAATATTTTATAATTTAAAATAAAGGGAGTAATTATTTTGAATCTTGGAGACTTCTTTGTCATATTATCTCTTTTTAGTGGAATGGCTTTTATAGCCCTCTGTACTTTGTACAATGAAATTGAAGCCACATCACCCCTGACTTGTGCGAGAATTTAAGGTCTTGTTTGGTACACAGGCTTCAATTTAGAAGGATTGAGATTTGGACTGGTATTGGGATTAGGATTGGGATTGAGAGTGGGAATGAGGTTTTAAAATTATGTTTGGTATAGAGTAATATTTACAAGGAATACTTATCTATATTTTATTTTACAATTAAACATAAATCACAAAAGACCATAATGCCCTTAAATTAATAAAAAGAAAAAAGCTGTAATCTAGCTTCTGCTGCTCCTCCCCTAAAATCACTCTCCTCCTCCTCTAGAAGGCACGACGCTGCATTTGCTCACACTCTCCTTCTCCCCTAAAAAGCACGACAGCGCATCTATGATTACTCTCCTTCTCCTCCAAAGAGCACGGCAGTGCGTATTGTAACATCCTGATTTTTATATAATAAAAAAATTGTGGAATTTAGGTTTTGAGGAAAACAAATGATAATAATAGGAATTTATATTATTTGAGGTTATTTAGAAATGATATTATGGTTAGGTATTTCATTATAAATTTAAAAATTTAAATTTAAAATCACATAAGCAATATTTAGTTAAGATATAATATATAAATAATTTTTTTATATGTGTTAAAAAAAAAGAGAAGGTAGAAGGAACAAAAAAGGGGGGTGGAAGGTTATTGTTTCTAAGTCCCACATTGGTTAGATGAGGGAAGAGAAGAGGTGCCTTCATGTATAAAAAGGAGGGGGTGTGTGCATTAGGAAGCATGAGAGGCTAAGATGCAATTTAGAGAAAATTACAACTTTTGGCCCAAAGGTTTGAATAATTAAATTCAAACCTATAGTTTTTTTTAATATAATTTTAGGACCACAATCCCATTTTTATATTATTTTTCTCTCTTTCTCTCACGTTGCTCGGCGTTTTCTCGCAAGGGGGAATTATTTTCTTTTTCTTCAGGTATGTTCTAACTTTTCTATTTAGATTAGCATTTAAAAATTTATTTAATTACAAAATTAATTTTTTAGTTATTTTCTAAATAATATTAGCTTTCTAGTGATATGATTATTTTGTAGGATAGAGTAAATATTTTGATTAGGATTTTTCTATAGGATAGTTAATCTGATAATATGATGGAGTAAAAATATAGGTTAAAACTCTTAGGGATATAATAAATATTATAAAATATTTTCTTGAGGTTGAAACTCATGTTTAAAAATTTTTGAGTTAAAATCTAGATCTATATGGTTGAATTTATGTGGAATTTGAGATGTAGGGATAATTCTATGATTATTAAATATTTATTTAAGTATGAATAGGTATTTTTGAGGTTATAGAAGGTGATTTGAGGTTTCAGGATAATTCTAAAATTTTTAATTTATTTTTAGATGAATTTTTAGAATATAGAAGGATGAAATTATGATACTAGAAGTGAATTGAGGATAAAAAAAATAGTTTATTAGGGTACGAGAATTTTAAAAAAGAATTTGGGAAGTTAAATGAGGCATAAATCTTAAATTAGTGTTAATATGGATTATAGATCTAAGACTTTCTAACTCTTTAAATTAGAGTTATTTATTTTAATGTAAAATTAATATATAGTATTGTGAAATAATTATGTAGATTATATTGACAAAGATAGTGGTGAAAAAGGAGTTGTGAAGGGAAACTTATTATTCAAGACACAAGGTAACCATTATTAATGTGTTGTGATGGGTGTGTTTGTGAATGGTTATGTGTTGTTTTGTTGTTTGGGAAAAATTATGAAGTATTGAAAATAAATACTGTATATACTTGTTTGAAATTATTGCCAAGTGGGTTAAAAAATTTATTTTTATTTATCAAGATGAGATATTATTGTTCGGATATATTCCTGTTTGGATATTTGAATGATGCATGACTTGTCAGGGTATTTAATGTATGGTGTTAATGAGAATTTCTGTTCAGTTAATTATTACCACGAGGTAAGCTCTGATTGAACCCAATGAGTGGCGTGTCGCTTGGTCCAACTCACCTTTGGCCGGGTGATTTGGCGTCCGAGCATGGTGAAAGGAGGATATAAGGTGCAGTCATGCAAATTAAATACTTGTTCGGTTTGTTTGGAAATATGGTTCGATTAAATGTTTTTATGTGCCCACTTAGCAATCGCATGATTAGTTACATCCACATGCCTCATTACATATTAATTTTTGGTTACTGGAACTTTTAAGTCTCATTCCCCGTGGTTAATATTTTTACAGGAGCGAGTCCGGCCTAGAAAGCACCAGAGGTGTAACTATGGTGTATGAGACACCATCTTTTACGTTACCTCTTATTTTGGATTATACAATGTATCTTGTGCCAACTTAGGACATATCTTCTTTGTGAAACATGTAAACTCTAATCCTTTTTATTAAAAGTATTTATATGACCAAGAGGATTATGTCTGTCCCTCTTGATGTATGATTTGATTTGAATATCATGCCATGAGGATTATGTCTGTCTCTCATGGTTTTAATTACTTTTTTTTAGATATTTTAAAACTTGTATTATGTCTTGGATATATCATGGTAAGAAAATTTTTTACCACGATAATGGTTTTAATAATTTGTGAAAAATCGGTTTGTAAATTTGAGGGTGTTACACGTATGGCCATTCCCTTTGCTCTCTGTGCCATACTCAATGTTCTTCTTCTTCGTCTTCTTGCTGTTCCTTTTCTGGTTTTCATGTAGATAGACAGAGTGATAAAGGTCTACTTACTAGTGAATAGCGACACAAATGGCTTTCTGGTTTGCGATGCATGAAGGCCACTTATTCATTGGTGATGTAGATCGATGAAGTGATGGAGATCGACAGAGTGAGACTTTCCCCTTCTCTCTTTTCGGTCATCGACGTGGGAACAGAGACGACGTTCATTCGCTGTTATGTAATCGTTTGTCCATTGTTGCTCAACTCTTTCCTTGCGTGTTCTTCATCCTGATTCAAGCATCGATGTTGTGCCTAAACGTGGTCGCCGTCATCGTCGCCGTCTTTGTTGTGGCTGTGAGGTAGGGTGGAGGCTAGAAGGTAGAGGGAGGGCCGATGGATAGGGGGTGAAGGGCAAAGGGAGAGACGACAGAGGGGCGGGGGAGGGCATTTTGGCTAAAAATAAATCAATCCCAGAATTAATTTTCTACTATTAAGGGGTGGGTAGTATTGAGTAATCCCACCTTAAAGGGATTGGCATTGAAATTAAATTTTTCATTATTTCATACCAAATATGAAAATGTGGGATTGCCTAATACCAATCTCAATCCCACCTTTCTAATGCTTTGTACCAAACATAGCTTAAGAGTCCATAACTCGAGCTTCCAATAATGTTATTGACAAAAATTACACTTTTAAACTAAAAATTTTAATTTTTTTTGGAATACCATTTTTTTATATTTTGAATTTAAATATTATAATTATTTTTAATATGAAGATCATTTGGAATTAAATTTTTTTGATAATTATTACATTTTAAAAGTAACTATTACCAATAAATAATAAATATTTTAAACTATTTTTTAAAAAATATATTAAAGTCGCAAAATTTAATCTTGAAGAAGAGTTTCAATTTTTTTTTTTACTGACATTCACAAACTTTTGTGTATTTTTTATGGATTTGAGTTTTAGCGGATGATCTAAATCTATTCATTTGATAATGATAATAATCATTCAATTTAATTGAAAACTATTAAAAATTTTATCATATAATACTTAAAAAATATTAAATCTAAAATTTTTAGAAGAGATGAAGAGTGTTTTGATCATAATGGTTGTTTTGAATTTTAAAGAAAAATATTCTAATAATTTTCAAATACTGATGAAATTTAAAGATTATAAGTGAGTCCTTCACGAATGAGTAGATTTAGAATATTCATCAAATTTACATATGCTTTTATATTTTTAAATAATTTGGTATTACTTTTAAATAATGATTAGATTATTTTTGTACTAACTTTGATATCATTATGCATATTTTTATTATTTTTGTCACTTTAGGTTATTAGATGTTCCTAACTCACTATTTAATGGGTATTTTTATCCCTTTACCTTTAAATTTATATTTATATATAAATATAATTAACTATGTAATAAAAAGTTTTAATTTTAATCTATAACTAAAATCATCATATTGAAAAAAGCGTCAATTTTAATATAATGCTTTGTTGATGATTTATTGACTATAATTTGACTTATTTTAATCACTAATTTTTGAATTGGCGTCTTGATTAATTAAATAATCCATTAATTTTTGTTAACTTTTAAAATATTTTAAGAGAGAATAACAATAAAATCTTAAAACTTGGAATTCATGATAATTAAGTCCATAATAAAATTTTCTTGTTTTTTTACTAGTTAATTATAAATATTGATTGAGATAATTATAAATTTAAAAATTTTAAATAAAAATAATATATTTAAATTTTAAATATAACAAGTTGATAGTTTTATTTATAATTAATTCAGTTAATATTTATAACTTATTTTTTTAATATTTTTATCAAGAATTTTAATTGTCATAGATTTCAAGTTGTGGGACTTTATTGTCATTCTTCAACGCTTGAATTTTGTTGGAAAAAAAAAACAGTTTAATTAGGTTTAGGGTTTATTTGGATATATAACTTTTAACTTTTGAGATATACTTTTATAATTTTTAGACGTAGGATGTTGTTTGAAAATTTTATGATTTAGCACACTGACTTTTTGAATATACATTGAGGAAGCTATTGAAAGTAAATTTAAAAACTTAATTTTTTGAAGCTTTTTAAACTGACTTTTTGATATTGAGTTTTTGAATTTACTATACTGCCTTTATTTCCGCATAGTACTTAGTGCGTGCTCTGTTTTATTAGAATTTGAATTTAGTGCAATAGCCATGAGGCCAAATAAATTATATAGGAAAGTAATTTTGTAAACCTTCTATATATAAAAAAGAAAAAAATATTTTTAATCCTATTTAAAGGATATATCATTTAATATTAATGACTGTTAAATTATTCATTACATTTTTTTAATATTAAACTTTATATTTTTTATTTTTATTATTTAACACATTAAATTTTATGTTATTTTAATTTTTTTTTTTACATTTTTAATATATTATATTTGTATAATAAAAATTATAAATTATCATAAATTAATATCTTTTTTTATCATTATATATTCCCAAGCACAAATCAATATTAATTTAAATAATTTTTAATTTATTAAACTGACTTTTAAAAAAAATATATTTAAATATAAATTTTATTATAATAATTAATTTTTATTAAACTAACATTTATCAAATAAAATTTTATAAAATAAATTTTTAATAAATTAAAAATCAAACACACACACAGAGTCCGGTTGGAACGAGGAGTTCGGTTTCGTTCGAATGTTTACAAAATAAAGTAGTCTGCTACATTTGGTTACCCCGGCTTTAGGCTGGAACAATAGTCCATTCCCGTCGCATCATGCTTTCATTTGCCGGGAAGCCAACACCTGTCGTAAAATTCATTGTTCGCAGGGACAAAGTCAACACTCTGCTTTGCTACCCAGAACTTCTACTCCGCTCATGGTTTTCATTGCCTGAACCACTCGCCGATAGCGCAGGGCATTTTCGTTTCTTAACGATAACCATTCTTCCATGGCATCCTTGTGGCGCAAGACCGGCGCGTACACTACGCTTTCCCTGCTTCTTTCTGCTTCTCTAGCTATTGCTGTCATCGATCACTTAGCTATTCCGACGAAAAAGTTGAGCGACTTCAAATATGGTGAATCATATTCTTACGAGATGGTCAGTGTGATCAATGAATTTCCTCACGATCCTGAAGCCTTTACCCAGGTAAATTTGGGGTTTCAGTGATCTGATATAGTTGGGGATTCCTGTTATTTTCTATGTTTAACTTTCTGGATATATCCAATGCGTGCTTGATAGCTCATAATGGGGTTATCTTATAGCAGAAATTGTGTTCTTCTTGAAACTTTAAGGCAGCTATTTATTGGGACGAGTTGCTACTGTTTACTTCTTATTCTCCTTTTACTTCTGCATGCCCATGTTTGTTATTTATCTTTTCTTTTGTTATTTTTACATTTATTATGTAATGTGGGGCTGAACCGCAGAGGTATTTTTGTTCATTCTGATAATATCATCGAGAATACAATTTGAGACAAACACGGTCATTTTCTCTTCAATTTTGAATAATAAATTCGGGTCTTCGTCTGAAATATCTTAGAACAACGGGCCTTTAAATCTTGAAGGACTTTTGTAGAAGGCCCCGATTGAATTTAAGAGATCCAAATTCATCAAAGGACCACTTGTTAGGTGTTGGCTCTATGAATTTTCAATTGAATTTGAAGAAAACTACTGCTTTCTACCCAAAATAAATATAAGGACTGGTATACAAGCAGAACTAGCCTCAATGATTGCTCATGCCAGGACCTTATTGGTCATGTGAACATCTTTCTTGAGTGCTCTACTTTCAATAACAGAACTTCATGGATGATTCATGATTGCTCCCATCAAGCTATATGACCTGTGCTAAGCAGTGATATAATTTCTGATATTTTATGAAGTTAGTACTTAGTAAATGTATACCTTGCTTCACTAATGCAAGGCCAAGGTTTTGATCTAGAAATGATCTTATTTGTAACTCATGGAAGGGGAAAAATTCTCGTCTCTGCTTATTTAATTTCAGGGTCTTGTTTATGGTGGAAATGACACTTTATTTGAGTCAACTGGTCTTTATGGAAAGGTAAGGTTATTTTCTTTTCTTTTTCCTTGTTTTCCCTTTTTCCCTTTTACTTTTGTGAGCCGTTTGTCTTGCCATTTTTCCTTCTTAGATGCGACCAAATGTTTTACCTATAAAATGTAAACAGGCAGGTGGATATTGTCTGCAGTCGTTGTTTGCAATGGATGATTATGAGATTAAGTTGGCAATGCATAAAGTTCTTACAAGTGAAATGATTACTTCATCTATTGTAATTTTCTCAATGATTAGCTATGCCAGTGCATTCCTGTCCATATGGTTCAAGATGGTCACCTAAGCTTTTCATTATAAATTTATAATCGTTTGAGTGTCATAGTTACTGTGATATTTCTTTCAGTTGGATTGATGTGGTACAGTCTATATAATTTAACCACGTGACATTTTGCTATTTGGCATAAGATTTACTATGTACTAGGCAAAAATCCCCTCCAATTCTGAAATTAATTTCTCTGGCAATAATTTGTTTTTCTTATATTGGTTATGAAAGTTCTGAGTAATTGACAGCTCTTTGAATTACTGGGCACTTGTTTCTTTGAAGCTTGCTTCATGAGTAAGTTGTAAATTCATTCCTGATTGTTTGCATTCAGTACAGTTTCTTAGTCATCCTAGTCTAAAATCAACTTAAATTTAAAACTAAGCTGGATTGTCAATATAACTGCTGCTAGTGTTATCTAAGAGCCAGGATTAAACTGCTTTGGAACTTTTACGTAGGGAATCTTTCATTTTATATTTATTATATTTTATTTAACCCTTTCGATACTTGTTTCAGTCATCTGTTCGCAAAGTAGCTCTTCGCACTGGGAAGGTATGGGCCTGTTTCTTGATTCTCTCTCATTCTTTTTTAATTTCTGAGTTCATTGTTTTTGAATTATAAAAAGAATAATAATTAGTTTTATACAAACTATGTAGTTGGTTCAACCCATAGAAGAAGAGACAACTTCTTTTAAGCCTATGCTACTGACAAATTGTATATCATTGTGCATATCCTTTTCATTGCACTCTAATAGATATAGTCAAACCAAAAATAATCATTTATAAATTGTTTGGACAGAAGTACAGCATGAGCACTGCTAAAAAAGGAAATTATAGTAGTGGCTCATTGCCAAGGCACTGTGACACCTTTATGTTGAAACGACTATGAATATTAGTTTTTGTTTTTTTGTTTAATAAATTTTATGTCTTGCCTTTCTCTTTTCACTTGAAATTTCTCTGTTCATTTTAAAAAGAAATTATCTCCTGATCTTTCTGGTGGCTCCGTTTTTTACTTCTAAAACATCACAGAATACACTCATTACTCTCAAAAATAAACTTAATAATTTACAGCCATGACTTAATTGTGCCCATGGTATCTGCTATCAGAAATTTAAAATTTCTACTTAAGTATGCACAAATACATACAAGAATGTTTATTATGTTTGATGCTTGTTATTTTTTGTTTAAGCAGTGAAAACTATGGCATGGAAAACCCCCTTGTGCAGTTGTGTGTAGTGTTGTGAAGTTTGTTTGACTGGACTTAGTAAGTGGTAGTTATACAATAAGATGCCTGTGGAAAAAAATTGTCTGGTTATTATTTTTGCTACTTTCAGGTTGAGACTCTTCAGAAGATTGATGATTCTATATTTGGTGAAGGATTAACTCTTTTTGGTGAAAGGTGTGTATAGTATATATAGTAAATTACGCTGCAGCCTGGTTTATTCTTGATATGAAAGTCAATAACCAAACTTAAACAAAGCTCTTTAATTTGGTAAGGCAAGGTGCTTAGGGTTCTGTTGTGAAAATTGGATTTTAAGTTCAAGTGAAGATAGAAAAGTTGTAGATTAAAGTTTCACTGATGCTGTGGTTAGGGAAGGGCAATGTGAAGGCAACACTGATTTTAGGGTTGGGTTAGTAATTGTTTGGGTGCAGTGCAGTGAACGTATCTGCTGGTTTGATGGGTTTCAAACCAAACCCGTGGAAGAAATTACAAAGGCTTTGATATTTGTCAAAGAAATCATGTCCAGGTGGGTTGACAACTATCACAAACAGAACAGTGGAAGAATAGAAGAAGATAGCTAGACATTGCACAACCAAGAAAGGACAAAATTTGCAGCCATAAATAATAAAACTGTTGAACATACTAAAGATAAGAAGCATTACAGCTGTTTGATTAAGCATATGATAACTTATTCAACAAAGAGGGGATAAAATCCCAAACACATAAGCAAGACTTAAACGTTAAAATAAGACTTTTTAAAATATAACATAAACGCCAGTGCAATTACAACCATAGTCCAGGAAATATGGAAGTTACTAGAATGCCTCTTGGGACTGAGAATATCACCTTTTTTTCATAGAAAGTTCTAAAGCCTTGACAAATATTTGAGTAATCGAATGGCCAGTGGCACTTAAACAGTTCTAATTCTAGAAAAAAAATGGTATAATAATAGAAAGCAAACATCTACAATCCTTTTCTGGATCTGTAAGGTGACTAGAGCTTTGCTGATTCACTAACTAGGATAAAATACTGTCACCTTTCTTAGTCCTACAACAATAGTATCACCTTTGTTCCACTACATATCAGAAGTCAGAACCATTGATTTCTTAAAAACAGTAAGAATCGAGGGAATGTAGACCCCTGTGGCTGTAAAGCTGATATAGATACTATGGTATGTCGTATTTTTGTTTTACTCTTCCACTTAACAATTGGGTTTATTCTAACGAGCAATTTGTTATACTTTCTGTAGGTTGTTCCAAGTAGCTTGGTTGCAGAAGACTGGCTTCATATATGACCACAACAATTTAAGCAAAGTTTGTGCCTAACCTCACCCATGTTTTGTCTTTGACTCGTTTTGAGTTTCTATTTTTAATAAGAGATGAAGTACTCTCGATGTATATTCATATTGACTGTGTACCATGTTACGATCAGTAGTCATTGCATTATGTGCAAGGTAGGAATTTGTATTAGATCTTTCTGTTAAAAGTTTTTTCCTGTTAAGAAAAGGGGTTTTGACTTCAATAAAATATGCTGTACTTTGGTGAAGACTGAAGATTTACTGAGCAAAAAACTGAGTCCTCTATACAGTGGGTGGTCGCATACATGTATACATACTCAGCTGATATATGGCCGAGAAATGAGGGATAGAGAGAATAAAATAAAAGGCTTCCTAATATATCTGATCCTATAATAACTATCAGATATTTACATTAAATATAGTATATTTCCATACTCTCCCTTAAGTTGGACCATAGATGTTAATCATGTCCAACTTGCTGATGAAATAATCAAACTTATCTCTACTCAAGCCTTTGGTGAGAATATCAGCTGTTTGCTCCCTTGTTGGTATGTGTCTCATCTGGATGATGCCAGTATCAATCTTCTCTCTGATAAAGTGTCTATCTATTTCAACATGCTTGGTCCTATCATGTTGGACTGGGTTGTGTGAGATGTTGATTGCTGCCATACTGTCTGAATACAGAGTGATAGGTAGGTTAACATCCTTTTTTAGTTCCTCAATCACCCTTTTAATCCATATACCTTCACAAATTCCCAAAGCAATAGCTCGAAATTCTGCTTCTGCACTACTACGGGCTACTACACTTTGCTTCTTGCTTCTCCAAGTAACCAAGTTTCCCCAAACAAAGGCGCAGTATCCAGATGTAGATTTTCTATCCTCTTGATCACCTGCCCAATCTGCATCCGTGTAGAGTTCCATACCGCGCTTCTCAGATTTCTTAAACCATAAACCCTTTCCAGGAGTACCTTTCAAATACCTGAGAATCCTGTAGACCTCATTCAAGTGTTTCTGCTTGGGGTTATGTGAATGTTGACTCACCATGCTAACTGCAAAGGTGATGTCTGGCCTAGTATGTGACAAATAGATTAATTTCGCCACCATACGCTGATACCTGCCCGTATCAACAGACTTGCCAAGATTCTCTTTATTGCTTTTCTTGTCAACTCGGATAGGTGTATCACTAGGTCTACACCCAAGCATGCCAGTCTCGTTTAAGAGATCTAGCATATATTTTCTTTGAGAAATAGATATTCCCTTCGTGGATCTTGCTACCTCCATGCCCAGAAAATACTTCATTTCTCCAAGATCTTTTATCTGAAACTCTTGAGCCAACGCCCTTTTAAGATCTTTAATCGCCTCAGCATCATCGCCTGTAAGAACCATATCATCCACATAAACTAACAAAACAGTAGTTTTAGTGCCTTGGTGTTTGTAGAACATCGTGTGATCACTTTGACCTTGTTTGAACCTTGCCATTTTTAGCACCCGTGTGAGTTTCTCAAACCACGCTCTCGGAGACTGCTTTAGTCCATATAAGGACTTCTTCAATTTGCACACTTGATTCGATTTATTTCCTAGGAACCCTGGTGGCAACTTCATATATGCTTCCTCTTTCAACTCACCATTTAGGAAGGCGTTTTTTACATCTAATTGATGTAATGGCCAATCAAGGTTGGCTGCTAGTGATAGAATTATTCTAACAGTATTGAGTTTGGTTACTGGTGCTAATGTCTCCGTGTAGTCTATACCATACACTTGGGAGAACCCTTGAGCGACAAGTCTCCCTTTGTGTTTGTTTAAAGTCCCATCAGCATTGTATTTAGGTGTGAAGACGCACTTACATCCAACTGCTTTCTTTCCTGGAGGTAATTCTACCACATTCCAAGTATTGTTGTTCGTCAATGCCTCCCTTTCCTCCATTACAGCTTGTCTCCATTCAGGTACGGCCATAGCCTCTTCAATGTTCTTTGGTACTGTAACACTGTCCAAATGGGCGGTAAATCCAGAAAATTTAGCAGACAATGCTTGATAAGACACAAACCTTTAGATAGGATGCCTAGTACAGGCTCTCGGCTTCTTCCTCATAGCTATCGGTAGGTCAATATCATTCTTACCACCTGATTCTTCCAGACTTCCTCCATTATCTTATTTTAGACCTACATTTGGTTCTGACTCTTGGTCAGTGCTTGAGATATGGGTCTGTTTTCCTGTCTTGTTTTTCCGTGTATAGGTCTGTGCAAATCTAGTGTCTCCCCCTGTTGTGGACATCTCCTTTAGACTAGGATTTGGCATATCATTTCTAGTATTGGTGTTCTCAATTCTTAGGTCCAAATCAAGATCAGTGAGTTCAAGAGACAAATGATGAGGTACAGCTATAAGGTTGGGTGTTTCAGGTATTTCACTCATGTTTTCACCCATGCCAATCTGCAATTCATTCCAATTCTCCCCCTGGATTGGAGATTGGGAGTAGAAGGATTCTGTTTCGTGAAAGGTGACATCACAAGTGGTAAAGATATGTTTGGTGGTGGGATCAAAGCACTTGTACCCCTTTTTAGTGGCAGAGTAACCAAGAAAAACACATCGGACAGCTTTGGGGTCAAGTTTGTTTGTGTGATGAAGATGAATATAGGAAGTACATCTAAATACCCGTAAGGGTAAAGTATTTTCCAGGTAGGGTAGATTGTAAGTTTGGTGTAGAACTTCAATGGGAGTTTTATATGACAAGGTGCGATTGGGAAGGTGGTTAATAAGGAAGGTTGCAGTTAGGACAGCATCATCCCAGTGATATTTAGGAACATGGTTGTTAAAGAGAAGTGCACGAGCTGTTTCAAGAATGTGCCTATTTTTCCTTTCAGCAATACCATTCTGCTGAGGACTGTAAGGACAGGTACTTTTGTGAACAATTTCATTGGAAAGTAAAAAGGTGGAGAGATGTTTGTTGAAGTATTCTGTGCCATTATCAGTGTGAAGTGTTTGAATAGACGTGTGAAACTGATTTTTTACCATATGATAGAAATCAATGAACACATGAGAAACATCAGATTTGTCTTTTAGAAGGAACACCCAGGTAACACGAGAATGGTCATCAATAAAGGTGATGAACCACTTTGAGTGAGTCCTATTAGGGACCCGAGAGGGCCCCCATAGATCACTGTGAATGATTGTAAAAGGCTTTGATGCAACGTATGGCCGATTAGGAAAGGAAATACGATGATGTTTTGCTTTTTCACAAGAGTCACAATAGAGCTGAGAATAATCACTTTTATTGCAAATTAAAGGAAATAATTTTGACATATAATTGAAATTAGGATGACCAAGACTTTTGTGCCACAACTCCAACTCACTAGTCTTAGGAAGAGACACTTTATTGCATGATCTAACATTATTGACTTTATTTCCATCCAAGTAGTAAAGACCATCAAATTCCTTAGCACTGCCAATCGTCATCCCCGTCAGTAGATCCTGGAAAAGACAATAAGTAGCAAAGAAATCAACATGACATTTTTCATTCTTTGCCAATTTACTTACTGAGAGTAAGCTACATTTTAAATTAGGCACATGCAGAACATGATGTAAGGTTAAAGTAGATGAGAGTTGTATACTCCCTATACTAGAGATAACCGACTCTGATGCATTGGCAATCTTGACAGTAAAGTTCTTTTGGCAAGGTACATAGGTTGTAAATAATTTAATATTATCAATCATATGATCTGACGCGCCTGAGTCTACTATCCAGCAATCTCCAGTGCATACTCTTTTAATAGTAGCTAAGGCTTTAGAAAAATACCTCTTTGTACCACATTAGCAATAGGTTGCTTATTAGTTTGCAGGGCTGACAGCATTTCAATGATCTTACTTAGTTGATCATTTGAGGGCTGTGAGTTATCATCTCCCATGGAGCTTTCAGCAACATATCCACGACTTTTTCCCTTTCTTGGCTTCCAGTCGGGTGGCTTACCATGGAGGTCCCAGCATTTATCCTTTGTGTGGCCCACTTTCTTACAGTGTTCACATGTGGGACGTCCTTTAGTGCTTCTAGGATCATTAGACTTGGCAGCTAGAGCAGATGATTCAAAAGTACTGGTTTGAGAAATGGGTTCATCTTTCAACATTACCTTCCTTCGGGAGTACTCCCTTCGGATCATTGTAAAGGCTTCACGGACAGATGGCAAAGGTTCCAAACTCAGAATTCTGCCACGAATATCATCCAAGTCTGAATTAAGTCCGACTAGCAACTCATACAGTTGTTCTTTCTCCAGCCGTTTTCTGAATCGAGCAGCATCCTCAGAACTGGTCCATTCTTCAGCAGTAATTAGATCAAGTTCCTGCTATAGAGCAGTTTTTTCAAGGTAATATTCACTTGGGTCATGATTACCTTGCTTTACGAGCCATAGCTTGGATTTAATCTCAAACACTTGAGAAGCATTCTCCCCATCTGAGTATGCCTCCTTCACAGCGTCCCATATCTCCTGAGCTATTGGGAGAAATAAAAAACTCTTCTTCACAGCCAGTGCCATTGAATTAACCAGCCATGAGCATACCATTGAGTTTTCGGTCTTCCAGAGCCTGAGAGTCTTGACATTCGTTGCCTCTGGACATTGGGTTTCACCGGAAACGTAACCCCCATTTGCCACGACCTTCTACCGCGAGCCGCACCGTCCGGGCCCATTCTCGGTAGTTGATGCCGGTGAGTTTTTCTGAGACAAGAAAGACGAGTGAGCTCTCTTGTCCAGTCACGAGGTGTGCGACTTGACGCGAGCTCGCACTGGACGAACTCTCCAAGCCAGTCGACTCTGTATTTCGGTGAGTCTCAAGCTGAAAGCTCGAGCCCCTGTTCATCTCTGATGATTCAGTTGCTCGTTCCTCTTCGTGCTCTGATACCATGAAGATTTACTGAGCAAAAAACTGAGTCCTCTATACAGTGGGTGGTCGCATACATATATACATACTCAGCTGATATATGGCCGAGAAATGAGGGATAGAGAGAATAAAATAAAAGGCTTCCTAATATATCTGATCCTATAATAACTATCAGATTTTTACATTAAATATAATATATTTCCACAAAGACAATGAGAAAAGATGTCTTAGTGGAGTTCCTTGCTTGTGATCTTATCGAATTCCATACACAATCTCTCTTATTTCTGCATTTCCAACCCACACAACCTGCCAGTTTATACTTTCAATAGCTCTTGATTAAAAGAAAAGAAAAGAAAAGAAAACTTAAATGTCTAGCTATTGGGTATTCATTTCCTGTAGGTTGGAGAATTTATGCATCAGATGAATGATGGGTGGGGTCTGGCAACTGATGGAGAAGTTTTGTTTGGAAGTGATGGCAGTTCAACATTGTATCAGATGGATCCTCGTACATTCAACAGTTGCTTATCTAGCTTTAAAACTTGACACTGCTTTAACATGTTTATAATTGTTTGCCTTGTAATTTTGTTTCACTGAATTCACTTGCTTGTTTTGAGCCAGTTCTATCAAAATCTGTTGTCTACTACAAGGGGCATCAAGTAAAATTTCTCAACGAATTGGAGTCTGTAAATGGTGAAGTTTGGGCAAATGTTTTGGGGGTATGTCCTTGCATGTTCAGTTGTGACTGTGTTTGCAGAAGATTTCTTTATATACATATCTGCAAAATACAGACAAATGTGTTTGTCAAAGTTCTTTTTTATGCACCGTTTTCTGAGGTTGACATATTTTACTTCTGTAGGTTGACTGCATCGTAAGAATCTCTCCCAAGGATGGTCGTGTTATTGGATGGATTGTCCTCCCAAATTTAAGGTCAAGCTTATTCCCCCCTTCTCCATCATGCAAACTTGTCATTACATAAGGCATTTGTGAAGGCTTTATTTATCTGTTAAGTAAATTTGTCATCTGTGTTGTTTATGGCTGCATTTTGTTTATGCACTGCAGAGAGCAAGAGGTGGTGGCTCAGAATCAAGTAAGTAACCTGAGCCCTTTCTTTTACGGAAAATATGACTTTTTTTTTCCCCTTGGGCTTTAGCTTGTCAATTTAAAATTTTAAGTTGTGACACCTGAAAACGTAACACACAAGGCTGTTTTTCATAACGAATTTTTTATTGTGTTCCTCCTTTGAGGATCAACTTATCATTAGAGGTAACTGTTCTTTTATGTGCTATATTGCTCAAATTTAATCAATAAGCTTTGGCTCGGTGCTATTGGAGACATTTTCACGAATGGAAAATCCAACTTTGAATCTCAGTTAGACCAAAGATTAACTGAAGAAGATATATAGCTAACATCTGGACCTTGCCACATTGTAGAAGCAGATGGTTTTGAATGGCATAGCATGGGATAGTGAAAAGAAGCGGATATTTGGTAAGCTGTAACATTCAATTGCTCATAGAAATAAGAGACAAATCTAGACATGATACTTCATAGATGCTGGTGCATAAATGTTTTTGGCAGAAGAGCTAAAATATGAAATAATAGTGGAGATAATCTCCATCCACTTTCAGCTTCTTCATGAAATCTGATGAAAGTGGAGATTCATTTTGGACTCTTAAGGGTTATATATGAAACAAAGTGATTGAGGTCTCCCAAAAGAAAGAAAGAACACACAGACACAGACACATAGAGGTCTTCCGAACCTAAAATTTGGGGTATGGGGGAAAGGGGCAGGGGCTGAGGTTGACCCCATAAACATTAAAGTCACCTCAATGTTAAAAGGATAGGGTTCTGTCACACTTCTTTTTTTACGCACTTTCTATTTTCTTCAGTTAATCTTTTCTTCATGTGACTAATTTATTTGCTTGCAGTGACGGGAAAGCTATGGTCAAAGATATACGAAATCAGAGTTGTTCCTATAAATAAACCAATTGAAGAAGGGTTCATTGAGCAGCTTTGCTTGCCTCCACTTCACAAATTTACGTACGACAGAAGTGAAAGTTTGAGTATCAGTCATTAACTATGAAGGGTTCTATCATGTTGGTTTCTGTAAATCTGTCCTGAGAGTTTCGTGGGTCCTGTCGCTCTCTCTCCAATCCTCTTGTGAACTAAGAGGATCCTTGTGTGAAATGTAAGAGAAAAAATGATCGAAGAATTCGTTTGAGATGATGTATAGTCAAACAGAGTGAATACTAATGCTGTGGTTAAATAAATTCTCTTGCTGAATAAATTTATTATTCTATGAAGCCTTTTGTGACATGGTAAATAAATAGTAAATATCCTTTTTTGGAATTATTTCATGTTGGCATTTAACTTTTTTTTTCTTGTTATCTAAAATTATTTCTATCCTATTTCAGTTAAATACTTTTGGCTGAATGTTTGTTGTTTTTCAATACGCAGCTTAGATAAAAAAAATATTGATCATACATATCACGGGAGGATCATGAATATCATGAGTGATCCCAGGATGTAACGTTAGAAATAAGATCAGCACATGACACTTGTGTCCCTGAGCGTCATTTTATTTTATTTTTTTTATAAAAAGTCCAAGTTAATATGGGGGGAAAAAAATCTAAATCAAATTCCCGCTAATTTCTCAAGTTCGTTAGTATATTCGTTACTTGACTTGAGAGCGTGAGTTCATTTTGAGCCTATTCCACCTTCCTTCTCCTTCCCCTTGCAATGTCCTCTTACCATACGTCATCGACCCTGAAAGCAAATCTCGAAAAGCCGACCTCCTTCTTCGGTGCTCCGTTATGGACTCTGTTCCTAGCTTTAACTGCAGCGTTCATCACTCTCATGATTTTCATCGCTCTCTGCATTTGGCTCATCTGCTTTCGTCATCGCCATCCCGGAAAGCCATACGAGTCCCGATTTTCTTTGCCCGAACCAATTGCTTCCAAGCGTTACCGTCGTCTTCGTCACGATTCGTCATCCCTCGATAAGAGGCTACTCTCAGGCAATGTTGATGCCTCTGGAATTCTGATGAACTTTGACAGGTTCTTTCCACATGTCAGTGACGTGAGGGAAGATGGAGATTTAGAATCAATTGTTGGATGCTCACGTAGGAGTAAGAATGTTTTGGGTCAGAGTATGGAATTCAGCTTCCAGGAGATCATGGAGGCGACGAATGGATTGGCTAAAGAGAATGTAATTGACACAGGAGACCATGGAATTGTTTATCTCGGTTTGTTGCGTGATAATACTCAAGTGGCAGTGAAGATGCTAGTGAGCCACAGGTACATGTAATTGCAGAAAGGTATAAAAATGATTATTATATCGTTATATTTCTTTTGAATATCACATAAACTGATTAAAAAAGTTTGAATAACCCAAAAAAAAGTGCATATAATAAAGGTTGAAATTTTTTTATGCAATTTTATCCTGCTTCTTGGAATTCGTTCTAAGCATCAAAGTTTTACAGTGTCCGTGCATATATGCATGTGCACGGCGAGATTCTAGTTTTGCTAAAAAAGAGGTATTCCGCATGGACAGTATTTATCTATATTTGTGCGATCTGCATTTAGTTCTTACTTTTTTTCTCCTTCAGTTGCCAAACTGAGGATTTTGCACTGCAAATGGAGGTATTTGGATGCATTAGACACAAGAAACTGGTCCAACTGCTTGGATATTGTACTGAGGGAGGTTACAGGTGTGAGCTTCAATTATTATGAGAGTAAAGAAGCCTATGAATTATTGCTATTGAAGAATTTTTAGTATCAATATGTTCCCTGTCTATTAGGATGCCAGTGTCTGAATACGTAGATAATGGAAATCTGCATCAATGGCTTCACGAATTTCCAGGACAAGTCAGCCCTCTAGCATGGGAAACCAGATTGAATATTATCCAGGGTGTGGCAAAGGGGTGAGAATTGGAATCTCAAAACTCAAGAATTTTGTTTCCTTTACGGAAATCTTTATGCTTTTACATGGCTTGAAGACTACAAAATTTTGCAGATTGGCCTATCTTCATGAGGACGTTGAACCTAAGATTCTCCACGGAAGCTTAAAATCCAGTAATATTTTGCCTGATCACCAATGGAATCCCAAGATCTCTGATTTTGGCCTTACTTACCTTTTCACTGCTAATTGGACGCACGATATGATGGAAACATCAAGGTCAGTTTCTTTGCTTCACAAAATTCTCAGGTATCAGTTACTTTCATGCAATATCATTTCCAAGCAAGTTTAATGTTTCATGATATTTCAGTTATATAGATCCAAAAAGTCATTCCACTTTCGATTTCAGCGAGAGCAATGATATTTACAGTTTCGGAATTCTTATAATGGAGATTGTATCAGGAAGGATTCCTGTATATCGTAGCCTAGCCCAGGTAATCTAAGAGGATTTTCAACCCTATTCACTCAAAAGCATCCTTTATATGATGAATTTAGCATGATGTTTAAATTGAAGGAACATTTAGTTGACTGGTTTAAGTCCAAGATTGCAAATGAAATTATTGACGACCTGGTGGACTCAAAGTTGCCTGAAATGCCTCATTCCAAGGAACTCAAACAGATGATTTTGGTTTCTCTTCGATGTGTTGACCCTGATGTGAATCCGAAACTCAAAATGGGAGATGTCATTCGCATGCTTGAGCCTCGCGACCTGCTTCTTTCTAATGTAAGAGCAGCTAGTTCTCAAATGGTAAAAATTTACCAACTTCTGGTCTATTATATAATTTCCACTTCCTTTTTCTGAAGGAACGCGACATTGAAAGGGAAGTTTATGAATACAATAACTCGCCCCAAAGTCACCCTGCACCAGAATTAGGCGACAGTCCGAGATAAATACAGAAGGCCAAGTTGCAGCAGCAGTGATCACTGCGAGAAAATCGCAGGAAAAAAATATAATTCTGGTCTCAAGGACCTCTGACAAACTTAATTGGAAGAATTTTAGCTTATGTACATAAAGTTCTTGGATATAAGACTAAGCAATAGGATTCATTGGAATTGGAATGTTTCTGTGCAGAGATCCTAATGTGAACCCCTTCCTCTTGAACAAATTAACTTCAACCTTTTGCAGGTGTGAATATGTTTTTGTGCATGTGGGAGAATGTCATTGAAAACGATATATATATATATATATATAGTTTTTTTTTTTTGGGTTAAAGGGAAGATCCAAGGGGAGAAGATGATGAATAAGACAGAGACCTCTGAATTGGTTTTGGAGTCATGAATTAAATGCTTGCTCTTGTTGTCATGTTAACATTGAGAAGTGAAAGGGTGCGAAGAATGATTCTACCTTGAGCGAAGTCAGATTCTTTCATGCATGGATGATTCTTTTCAAGAGTCAGGATTGCTTGTTATGGGTCAATGCTAAAGTTTTTGGGGCAAAGCACCTGAAATTTTCTCCAATGAACACTCAATATTTTAAACTATTAGTTAAAGCAATTTTATCTTCAAAGAAATTAAACCGAAGCATTTTTGTCTTTGTCTTTAAATTCTCTATCGGTTTACATTGGAGTTTCAATTAGCATTTTTCAATCATCAATGTTAGGAATTTGACAACAAGGGCAAACATACTCCATTTTAATTAGTTTAAAGACAAAATTGTTTCAGTAAATAGTTTAAAATACTATGTGTTCCTTAAAGAATATTTTAGAGATAAAAATGCACATTTACTCTAAAGTCTTTCACATTTGTCTTTATTTTTGCTCTTATTATTTTTTAATTTGTAGTTAAATTATTATTTTATTTTTAACTGTTTTTGCCAAAAATTGACCAACACGAATCTATTATACAACAATAACACTGCAACAAGCTTTTAATTTTTAGTATATGACAGTCATAATTTATATGCTCTTTAAATGAAAGGAATAATTTTATGTGATAAAGCACAACAACTTCGCACTATAACTATAAAATAAATGAAACGCCTAAACCAAAGTAGGTCAAATTTCATTTAGTAATAAGATTATAACCGGCCGAACGTAGTATGAGTGATCCATGGCTTTACATAGTTTATAGCTTCTTTCGGCACCTTTACTCCCCCGTTACACTTTAATTTTCCTAAGCTCCAGAGTTGTTTACCAAAGTTCTGTGATATAACACAAGAGCCCAAACTTAATGCAAATATTCTTAGAAGAAAGTAACAGAACAAGTCTTCAACTGAACACTCTCAATGGGCAATCTGTCTTTTGGGTGAGGACAGTCAAAATTTTCTTCCTTCTCTGGCAACAAATTACAGGGCTTAGGAGTCACATCGCTTGTGAATCCCTCAACATCAGTGCAATTCCATTGGAGTTTCTCGGGCTTCTCAGTCAGTTTGATTTTCACATTAGAAATGCAGATTCCTGTAAAAGGATCACCAGAAATCCCATCAAGTCTTGCTGAGTATGTCACATTATCCGCTATAACATCTCTGTAGTTTATTCCACTTATCTTTGGGAGTGCTTTGGGATCAAATCCAGGATCTGGATGAGACCCATAAGAACCTGTCATCCAGAAAACATATTTCATAGTGTCTAAGGTCATTCCTTTCACAAATATGTCTTTCACATAAGCTCCTCTCCCAACTGCAGTTTTGATTCTAATAGCTGATTGAGTGTTGATTGCATTGATGTTTTCAGCCCTAACATCTTGGATGCCACCAGACATCTCGCTTCCTAAAGCGATCATTGCGCTATCTGGGGATATGCAGGTAAGCCCTCTGACAATGAGATGTTTAGTTGGCTTCCCAAATTTAATTCCATACTCATCCCAGCCACTTTTTACAGCGACACAGTCATCACCAGAGACAATGTAGCAATCTTCAATTTTAACGTTTGTAGATGAATCTATAACAAAAAGCAGGAAGAACAATGATAATTGGATGATTGCAGTTTTCGGCTAGTGCATATTGTCTCCACTTTTATTTTACCATGTAAAACAAGCACAGGCAAGCGTGTAATAGAAATAGCAACTAATTACCAGGGTTTATGCCATCAGTGTTTGGAGAATCAATTGGTGCAATAATGGTTAACCCTTGAACTATTATATTGCTGCATATATGAACAACCAGAGATTAAGAGCAATGATTATGAACATAATCAGTCCATAAAGATAATGAATTTGAAAGATTAATTATCAAACCTGCTGTAAACAGGGTGGACAAACCAAGAAGGAGAGTTGAGCAAAGTTAAATCAGAAATTTGGATTTGATCAGAGAACATGATCTCAATCAGGTATGGTCTAGTGACTTTCAATTCACCCTTGTGGAACTTCTCCCACCAATAAGAACCTTGCCCATCAATTGTGCCGTTGTTACCTAATTACCAAATTGCAACAGGTCAGGCAATTATCATCTTTGTATGTGACATGAACACAGTAAACAAAAGGTTGTCATTAATTAATGATGACTTGGTCTAACTGGTTACCAGTGATTACAACATCAGTAAGGTAATTTCCAAAAATGAGACTGCTAAGCCTTCCACCTGGTGCATCTCTTCCTCTGCCGTAAGATGGTAGCACAGGTAGTTCAGGCCATTCTGATTCATCCTGTCAATTTTGCTATGCTATGTTAGAGACATTCATAAAATTGTTTCAGTGCTTTTTTTTTAAACAGTTCAAAAATTGGAATTAAAAAAAAGAAAAAACATAACTTTGGATCTCTACACTTTACTTGAGTTTCGCTATAGGTTTTTGTACTTTTTTTGGGTATTCTAGATCCTTATACTTGTTTTTTTTTTTTTTAATTCTAAGTTCCTCCATAAGCAATGTTATAGGGGCTTAAGGTGCAAATGGAGAAAAGTGTATGGACATGGAACACAGGAAAAAAAGCGCAGGGCCTATAGCAAAACTCGAACATAGTGAAGGGAATAAAATTATATTTTCCAAGAAAAAAAAAAAGAATCTTTGACTTGGTGGAAGAACAAATGATCTTGAACTACTGTACCAAGAAATTATATTTCATAGGCAAAATCTTCCAATTTTCAAAAATCATTCAAGTACTTCATGTTCCATCATTTCAATCCCCCATGGTACATTTTTAACAATTCCCTAGATCTTGTGACCTTAAAAACTGGTGTTGGTATCATAGAGTGCATCAGAGTGGTGTATTAAAAATGAAATAACACTATTAGAATCTGTTTGAATTATCATAAAGTGAGATTAAGGAAAAGGTAAAGTTCACTTTCAAATCAAAATAAATTCATTTAACTCTTGTTTGGTTACTAGAAAGGAATGAATTGAAGAAAATCAAGATAAAAATAAAGTAAATCACAATTCTTCCCATGGTAAATATGATAAAAGTCATTAATATATGCTACAAATATGAGAATTATCACATCTTCCAAAAATCTCAGAAATCATAATTTCCAACTTCATGAACTAAATTACCCCTATCTCTTATGAATGTACTCACCTATCCCCTTTGATTATATTATTTTTATCTTTATTTTTTAATTAATTTCATTCTATTTCTTTTAGTAAATAAATGGGACCTTACATGCTAAATATTTGACAACAAAAGAAGAACAATGAGGATACCTGAGATCCAATAATGACGGCATCTTTATGGAGAAAAAGAGTGAAATGGCTGGTGAGATTAAAGCTGCCAGTGAGCCATTTGCCGGGTGGCACAATAAGCTGTGCTCCTCCATCAGATGCATATTGGCTCAGATGGCTGATAGCAGACTGAAAGGCCTTTGTGTTTGATGTTTTGCCATCACCAACCCCTCCAAAATCTGTCAACACTGCGCTGTGCTTCCTGCAGTTAATGGCATGATACCGTATCGTCTCTGATATTCTCACTGATTCTCTGCACTCTACTGATCCCAATATCACAATCACTGAGATTATCCCAATGAACTGTAGAAAAACCAGTGATTGTCAGATGTAATGGTTAATATGAAATGTTCCTGAAATGTCAGGTTCAAGAAAATAAACAAGTGTATCTAAGGATCATTATCATTACTATCAATATAACATCTATAACAAGTTGTACAATTCACGTGTCATGAAATGTGAAACTTCATGTAATGTACAAGGGACTTGGCTAGTTTCTCATGAAGCATTAAGCAAGTAACAATGTGGAGTGAGAACAAGACATGAAAAGTGAAAGGAAATAAAAAAACAGAACCTGGAGAAAGGGAAAGTGGTTTATGTATTACATTCAAAATGACAATGAGCATGAATCAAAGCATAACCATCGTTGATAAATATATCAGACAGGCTCCTAGGTATGGAAAGAGAATTACATAGGAGTTTCTGAGCTCTGGACGTAGCGACTTCATGGTCTGAGAAATGATCTGTAATGAAGTTCTAGTTTTCTGAGGAAGACACAGAAAAAGAAGGCATGAGCAATATATAAATATATATTTGGAGGGGATTTTTTTTTTTTTTAATGGAAAAGAGGATGTTAAGGATGGTGATTTGTGAATGCACCTGCAACGGAAAATTTTCTGAGCCTTCGATGGAAAAATATCATGACATTAATATGGTCCATTTCATGTTTTGAAAACATCTTTCTCAGTTTGTCTAATAATAAATCAAATCTAAAGGAGTGTATCTCGTCAGTGATATCGGATCCAAGATTTTAGTTCGTCTGTTCTCTTTTTTGTCAGAAAAATAAAGTTGCCTTTTAAATAAAAATGGTGCCACAGAAGAAGATACATGGAAATTATAACGATCAAATAATAAAAGTATATAATGATGTGCACTGAAACTACAGTATTCCGTTATTTTTGTTCATGCATGACCATTTGTCCCCTTGAATTTTGACCTTATGATTCGTTTGGATTTTGGAAATAAATAGATATCCAACTAAGCAAAGGACAGGCATAATATAATCAAAGTTATTTGTTTTAAATTAAATCAAGAAATTTAACTTTTTTATATATATTTATCCTATAACAAACTCATATTATTAATATTATTAATACATAAAAATTTATACTCTCTCCGTTAAAAAATATAAGTCATTTTTAGTCTTTTAAGGTGAATCATTGTCTTTTTTTCAAAAGTGCCCTTATTAATAATAACTTTATATTTATTATAGGGTGTTTAATAGGGGTAAATATGAAAAGATAGGGTTAGTTTAAAAACAGGTAACTACTTTATTGGGGGTGAGATTCGATTAAAAATGTCTTATATTTTTGAATAGAGGGAGTATGTCTTAGTCAATAAAAAAAATGCATGTGTCTTAATTTAATTAAATAAAAGCATATTAAATATATAAGACTAAATATTCAAGAAATTTTTTTGCATGAACTCAATGTACAAATATGTCATGTTATACCAATTTAATCAAATAAAATCTTATGTGCCATTATTTTTAGAATATAGTATATCTTTAATTTCTTGTTATGTTTCCATCCAAAAATTTGAATTACACTTTTTTGTTTTGTTTTTATGTGTCATTATTTTTAGAATATAGTATATCTTTAATTTCTTGTTATGTTTCCATCCGAAGATTTGAAATACAATTTTTTTTTACTAACAATTCTTTCTATTGGAAGCAGTCATGTTCAAGATATGATCAGGTACTCTCTGCGCGCGCGTGCGCTCTGTAGTCTGTCAAATTAAAATGTCCCAAGTCATTTAAATAAAATTTTATGTAACATTATTTTAATTGATTTTATTCTTATAACATAATATATATTTAATTTATTATATTTTTTCTTTCTACTATCATTAATATCATAATCAATGGCAAAACGGGTGCGCCATGTTATTTATCGTCTGTTTAATAAAAATATGATATTTAATTAGATGACATTGAATATAAACTGATTATAATATTAATGATAGAAAAAAAATATAATAAATTAAATATGCATTTTATTATAAAAATAAATTTGAAATACTTTAACAATACCTTTTTTATTCATGACTATAATTTTTGCTATTGACTTCTGGAATTTGATTCTTTTAGAAAAATGTTCTCTTTTTAAGTAATGAATAGTATAACTTGCCATAACCTTTTCGAAATTAAAAAATTGCTATAACTTATTACTATTTTAAACTCAGCACAATATATGAACCTAACCATTTACTAAAAATAAAAGAACTAATTTGAGATTTTGAAATGGAGTTTCTTTGCCTACTTAAATGCTTAATCTTACGCAATCTTTCATAATAATTTTAAACTTTGATCTGTCAGTGTAAATATTTTCATCTTGAAACCCTCAAATGTGAGAAAAAAAACTCAAGATTATTTATATTGTTAATACGGTGTATAAGTACCACTTTATGAAGCATCGATATTTTAAATTGTCTCACATATTTATATCGGTATTATGTCTGATACTAATACTCAATGATACTTTTTCATATGCATCCATAAAATATCAAAATATTATTTTTAATTTTAATACATATCCAATATTTTTAGATTGTGAATTGATACTTTAAAGCTAATACTTTGAGGCTATTTTTAAGAAATTAAATTTTATTAAATATTGCAACATTAATTTTTTTTGTTTCTAGTATATTTCTGTGATTTACTTTTAAAGTCAAAAGTTGAATTTTCCTTAAAAAATAAGTTTTATATATAATAAAAGGATAAAGATTATATTTTTTAATTATAAAAATGTATGAATATAATCTTTTGGCATATAAACCCTAAGTAAGAAACTATTAGTAGAGACTAAGTGGTAGGTAATTAGGTAGAGATTAAATAAAAGTATAATTAATAATTATGTTTTGCTTGGTATTATTATAAAGAACTACTCCCTCCGTTTAAAAATATAAGGCATTTTTTGAGGAGCTGAATGTTAAAAAATGTAAAGCATTTTTAGTATTTTCAGATGCAATTATTGCTTTTTTTTAAAAATTTTTTCTATTGATGAATGACTTTATATTTATTATAGGGTATTTAATGAGGATAAATATAAAAAAAATAGAATTAGTTTAAAAGAAGGTAACTACTTTATTAAGGAGCGAGATTCGATTAGAAATACCTTACATTTTTTAACGGAGGGAATATATATATGTCAGGTTGGATATTTTTTAAGTTGAAATTATATTTTTAACGTTTTTACGATTTTTTTATAAATATATTTGCCTATATCCAAATATATCATATCTTATATTTTTTAAAATAAAAAGCATTGACGTATCGCATCCGACATGTATATCAGCATCTGTGCAATATAGGTATTACTATTTAAAGAGGAAAAAAAAAAAGAAGCATATATGTGATCATCTTTACACTAATAACAGATGGGTTATAACTTATAATCAATTGAAACCAGTGAAATTCTACACACTCCGCTAAAATGATGGAATATTGAAACTAATCTAACAATTGAACCACCAGAAACAAACATGGCAGAACTGAAAAAAAAGGTTTCACAGACTTGGTAAAGAATCAACACTGAACCTAATATCATTTGCCATAATGGCACTAAAGACTGCGATATGGTTGAGTAGATCTTAGCTAAAAGTTAGAGAGTAATCCTCATACTAATACCGGAAATTTAATAGTGAAATGAAGACAAACTGAACAAGTAGAATGAGTAAAGTGTAAAGATAAGCTTCATTAACCCTACAGTTCATGTGAAACAGTTTTTTTCCTTTCCTTTCCTTTTCTTTTTGTGTTTTTGATAACAAAAAGTAGCAAAACAGTGCTACCTAACCAAACTCCCTAGTGAGCTGATCAGGCCAATCTGAGACAACCAGCCTATGAAGATCATCAGGCGGTTGAATAATCCTATGCAAACCAGGTGAACCCTCATGCCTTGTTTAGCAAGAAAATCTGCCGCTTTGTTATGAACTCCCCCAATAAATTGAATCTTCACCTCCCACTCTCCATTAAGAACTTGACGAGTCTCGATAATCAGATCATAATCATGATATTCTGGGTTCGGCTCATGTTGCAATACAGCCAACGCATCGGTAGAATCAGTCTCAAGCTGAATCTTTCGACTACCACAATGCCATGCCAGTTTGAGCCCAAGCAAGCACGCCCATCTTTCCGCTGTCAAACAGTTGTCTCCATTCAGTCTAGAAATGAAGCCATGCAAAAATTCACCTTGGTCCCCACGTATCAGTCCACCACAAGCTAGAACATTAGTTGAGAAGGCATAAGCACCATCTACATTAACTTTCACCCCACCCATAGCCGGTGGTCTCTACCCCTCCAGTCTATTCCCAACTCTGACGATAGTAGAGGTATGCCTATTCAAACTACTATGGGCTTCATCAGCAGCAGACGACATGGCTCTGGTATGCGTCACAATATCATCCAAGCAAGTTAGCTAGCTTATGGTCAAATGTAAATCTATTACGTCTCTGCCAAAGACCCCAACCTATGATCGTAAACATCACTCCCCACTCCGTCTTCGAGGTACGACTCCTCGCGGAGATATTGCTAACAATCCAGCCTTTCAGGTTATGGGAAAAGAAACGAGTCCACGCAGATCGAGGGATAAGTCTTCTCCACAAGAGTTGTATATGACCACAGTCACGAAGGGAATGAAGCACTCTCTCTGTTTCTTCATTGCACATAGGACATCTCCTATCATTACTGAGGCTACGTCGTAGTCTGGCATGATTAGTAAGTAACCTGTCACGATAAGCCAGCTACAAAAAAGTTCGACATCGAAGTGGGGCTCTAACCTTCCAGATTTTCTCCCATCCAATATGTCGTTCATCAGAGGTAATCATCTTATACGCAGATTTTACCGAGAATAACCCATTCTTCTCCCCACGCCATCTAACCTTCCAGTTTTTTCCTTTTCACTTCACGTAGAACAAGTAGTTGCAGCTGAAACACTTTCACAACCTCCAACACTATATGGAACTTAATCATGTTGCTTGTAATTTGTCCACTTAAACCACTGAAATAAAGTCTTCTATATATTTCTACCGCAAATATTTATGAGAATGATCTATACTTCTGTGACCATGCGTTATATATATATATATATATATATTGGGTTCAGGGGAACTGAAGAGCATATCATTTATGCAGTTTCCACAGGAAGGAGACAACTTTTAAAGCCTTTTATCAGATAAAGAGTGATAGCATAAATGATTCTTTTCAAGAGTAAGGATTGTTTGTTATTGATCGATGTTTTTCAGATTTTTCTTTATTTTTACTCTATTATTGTTTTTTAATTTATCGTTAAATATAACTTCTTTTCGTATTTTTATTTTAAATAAAATATGAAAATAAAAATGCAGGCCGTCAAAATTAAAAATTTCCCCACCAAAATCCATTGATAATAACTCTACAACCTTTTTTCCGATTCAGTATATGGCAATCATAACTTATAATATCTTCTAATTTATAATATCCTCTTAGATAGAAGTATA